CTCTCTCTCTCTCTCTCTCTCTCTCTCTCTCTCTCTCTCTCTCTCTCTCTCTCTCTCTCTCTCTCTAAGTCACACACACAAAGAAAAACTTGTGCTTTTTGGTTTCTTCTTTTTTCTGTTTCACAGCTTTGGCTTTGAAGTCACGAGCCCATCCCCTAACCTTTCCCTTTTATTTATTTGTTTGCTTTTCTAGTCAATTTAATTTATGAGTTGTAACACGATGGAAGAAGTTTCGTTTATCTAGTTAATGTGTATGCCTCATTAATGTTGCCTTCTACCATATTTGAAAGCTAGTTCGAATAGCACAAGACTGCGAATTGGTTATGAAATAAAAATTCTTAAACCCTCCAGCATACACATATATCATTTTAATGTCAGTTTATTATGGTATAAAAATATCACATATAGACAATTTTATCATCAACAATTCTACTTTTTTGGCGAGGATTTGAGTCATTTTGAACCACGATGTGAGTAACTGAAATGGGTATTACCAACACAGATGATATCTATAACAATTTGATGTTTACCATAATAATGAAAACAGTATGTATCGTTAGACAAATTCAATCTACTCCTCTTGAGTTTCTTTTCACTTCCCTATCACGAGACTCAAAAATTGAAGGAATTGAGTTAATAATTATCGCTCTTAAATTTTATTGTAATATACTTTTTATACGACTGGAGAGGTACAGTTACTAATGTTTAATAGAAGTAAAAGGACCATTTGTTTTTGTTTTGTTTTGTTTACGAGGTGTAAATCTAGATCTATATTTGCAGATAAAACCATGGAAAAACTCTATGTTAAAATAGAATTAAGAATATCCGCTGCCATCATATACATATTATTCAATATATAGTAGAGTTGGACAGAAAGAAATAAAAGGAATGATGGATACAAGCATCCAAAAAGTCACACAAACAGACTTTCAAAAGTCTTCACCTTAAATTCCAAACACATATGTGTTAGTGTGTGCTCTTTGATTGAACTTTGTCCAGAGAACTCCAAGATATACCCAAAAGGTTCAAACCCCCAAAACACAACAAGAAAAGAACCAAAAAAGCTAGAGACCAAGATGAGATCAAGCAGCCAAAGTTCTGAAAATTCCAAAACGTGTCCATCTAACAAATTCAAAGCAACCACCAAGAAAGAAGACAACAAAGATGATGAAGACGAGGACGAAGAAGAGAGATCAGTAGATCAGAGCCCATCAAACAATAGCTACGTGGAAGAGAGTGGGAGCCACCATCACAATAATGATCAGATCAAGAAAAATGGTGGATCTGTGAGGCCGTACAACCGCTCAAAGACTCCAAGGCTGAGATGGACTCCTGAGCTCCATCTCCGCTTTCTTCAAGCTATGGAGAGATTGGGTGGACCAGATAGTTGAGTTTCAATTATATTATATGAATCAGTCTTCAATATCATTGCATATATGAAATCTATAATTTATTTATAGGGTTTTCTTTGAATGATTTTGCTGGAGCAGGAGCAACACCGAAGCTTGTTCTTCAATTGATGAACGTCAAGGGGCTATGTATTGCCCATGTCAAGAGCCATCTTCAGGTTTTGCAAACATACACTATCTTTTTATCATTTACATTTTATTACCTAAAACTCATATTTCCACCTACTTTTTTTTTTTACTTAGATGTACAGAAGCAAGAAGACCGATGACCCAAATCAAGGTAAAATTTACTTCTATTAGGTTATGGTTTAATTTAGGGTTTCCTTGGAATTTGATCATACACTCTTAAAAATGAATTAGAAAAAATGTTGATTATTTCTTTATATGTCATTTTCTTATTGTTTCAGGAGATCCAGGATTTTTGTTTGAACACGGAGGTGGTTACACTTACAACCTTGGCCAACTTCCAACGCTACAAAGTTTTGATCAAAGGCCTTCTACTAGTTTAGGGTATTAACAAAAAATTTGGCTCGTTAATTTTCTACCTATATACGTGTGTTAAATTCACTTTAACTTGGAATATCATCAATAGATACGGTGGCGGTTCGTGGACTGACCATAGACGCCACGTCTACCGTAGCCCTTGGAGAGGCTTAACAGCAGGAGACAGTACAAGAAGACCAACACTGTTTAGCTCACAGTGTGGCGATAGATTTCGTGGAGTTAGTAATAGAACTCTTGATGATACAAATAAAACTATTTCGTTTCGTATCAATTCTCATGAAGCTTCTCAAGCGAGCAATGGAGTAGGTGATACAGTTCCAAGTATTCATAGAAGCTTTCTTGAAAGCATGAAAACGTTAAACAAATCATGGGGACAGAGCCTCTCCTCTAATCCCAATTCTTCGACGGCATCAAGGCCACAAGATCATATTGCTACCACATTAAGTTCTAATCAAAGGGAAAATACTAGAGTGGCGGAAGTAACGGAGAATGTTATGAAGAGGAAAAGATTGTTACTGCCTGGTGATTGCAATAAGTCGGACCAAGATTTGGATCTAAGCTTGTCCCTTAAGGTACCTCGGACTCACGACAACCTTGGAGACTTCTTGTTAGAAGATAAAGGAAAAGAACATGATGATCTTGAAGATATCAAGGGTTTGTCTCTTTCGTTATCTTCTCCGAGTTCATCAAAACTCGGTCGAGACATTAGGAAAGAAGATCAAAGTGATCCTAATAAGAGAAGTATTTCGGTTTTAGCAAGTCCCCTTGATCTCACTTTGTGAATATATATAACATATATAATAACATATAATATGTATATTCTAAGTGAGATCTTGAGGTACTTGTTGATAGAAGACGGTTCTTTGCTGTTTATCATTCGTTGGCTACTTGTGACAAATAATAGACATTTTCTTAACGTTGTTCAGGCCTTTTTCGATATAGTTGTCAAGATGTCAAATGCATATTTAAATATAAATGTTTGTGATCGAGTTGATTTGTTTTATTCTGAATTTGTAACCAAGAAATATATTAGTGAGTCTATATGGTTTTGAGAGTTACAAGACATTGCACGTTGTCTTTGTTGTGTCTTGTTGTGAGACGTTGCAAATGTATGCGTAGTTTCCGCTTTCACTCAGTCTCACACAGGTATCCTAAGTCAATATTTTGGATTAACGTTAAATTAGTGAAGCGTACATATGCAATCGAGTGTTTCAAAAAAAAAAAAAAAAAAGTACATATGCAATCGTAATGTTTGGATTTATCTCGATAACCTGTTTTCTGTCTCTATCTTATCAAATGCTAACTTGTACTTAGGGGCCAATGTCACCGCCAATTATGTTTAGTTTACATCGCGTTAATGGCAAACTAGCCGTTGTCAACTTTTCTCGATCACCTGTCAATTTAAATGATCTAAATTTTGTTGTATATAACCTAACCAGGAATCTAACATTAAATTACATTATGCATATGCCAAAAATAAAAATTACATTATGCATGGCTAGGACATTAATAAGCATCTAATACAGCAAAATTATCCTTAACATTCAAGATCATTATGTGAGTATAGCATCTAATATGCATATTTTCTCCATTCAAGGTCAAAGAATCATTAAACGGTTGTGAGAAAATTCCTACCAAACCTCTTGAGAGCCTAATTATTGGTAGTTATATGGTCAACAGTAATGCAAAAGATCTTTCCCATAAGAGCATGATTAAACCCGGATTCTTAAGGCGGGGTTCTTAGCGGAAACTAAGAAACTGTTTCTTAATTTTTTACTGAAAATGCTAAGAATCGGTTCTTTAATAAGGACTTTAAGAACCGGTTCTTAAATAAGGACTTTAAAAACCGGTTCTTAATTTTTTTAGTTAAAAGTTAAGAAACAATTTTAAATTCCGTTAAGAACTCCGCCTTAAGAACCTCGGGTCAATCATGGTCTAACGTCCTTGAAGAACAGTTGAGATTATCTAACATTTTTTATTTGTGATATAGTTCTTAAACCCAACTAATAACGAATTTTCTTTCCATTTCTAATTTGGTACCACTCATTAAGTATTTTTTTTTATTTCTTTGCATATTTGTTTTCTTCTCTGATATCTTTAAGAGTATTTTTAAAAGAACGACAAAAAGACAGATGTACTTGCCATAGATATGTGTCTTGACTCTTGATCTCCTCGATAGACAACAAGATACTTGTTCTTCGCATATAATCGTTTTCTTATCATCTCGGGCCTTGAATACGATTTGGTATACTGTTTTGTATATTGATATTTACATATTTTCAGGGAATACAAAAAAACTACGGAAGGTTTTTATTGTGTTGTGTCTATTTGTGTCGTTTTTTTGGGTGTTAATATTTTACATTGTTGATTTTTTTTTTAAAATACATATTTTCAAACTCCTACTTCATTGATTTTAGATTTTGCAATGCTCAAATATAGATGTTGTCAGACATCCATCTATGGTAAAGAGAAATTGGAATACGATTTGCTCAACTCATGGGCTATCTTGCGAAGTAAAATTTGTTTTGATCACTGAGAACCCACATCTTCATTAATACCACTCGGATAACCTAGTTCACATTATTCGAGACTCGTAATTTCTTCACTAAGAACTAATTGTCAGTTTGTTTGGAGAGGGAAGTGAACCGTAGTAACAAAATCAAAACGTTATAGTATTTGTCAATTAGCTTGCGGAAAGTGTTGTAGACGTGATAACATTCTTAAAAAATATTGCAGATAACAAGAATTAAGAAAAAAATTTAGAGGAGAGGAAACAACTTTTGTAACGCGTAAGTAGCAATGACAGAGTAAGCCTTTTGTGTAGGATGCACAGAATCGAAGAACAAATACTTTGAAACATCCTCACAAGTTCTAGACACTGATTTGCATAAAGGTCCTGCCTCAAGGAACCCCGTCCCGCAACATCCTTTCAACGTTTCTTCTAATCCTGAATTTAATCATACCAAAATCATCAAACTATAAAATTTTACGCCACAATTAAGGAACTCTCGTGTGTATAAAACTCAATATAGTTACCGTATTTATGAGGGTGTTTGATCATGTCCATTATCGGAGTGTAGATGTCGAGGTAGAGAATTTTGGAGCCTAGAAGCCTCTGACTGAGACGGAAGCTTAGCTTCTGTAGCTTTTGATTGTATAGCTGAGAATCAGTATTCTGGTTTTCCGTACAGGTCCGTTTATGGAAGATCCGAGGGAGTGTGACAGTACCAACTGTTACTTGCACTGGAAGGCATCCTATTGGTGGTAGTCCCGCTATTGTAATTCTTCGTGCTCCTGCGTCGTGTAGTCTCTGTTGAGCATTTGGAAGATTAAATAATACGTTAGAGATTTACATGTTTTAGGCTATATGGAGATATATGTATCTAGGTCAGTCTCTTCGCTATGAGTATGGATGAGAGTATACATTTCAATTTCATATACAATTTGTGGGCCTAAATGATAAAAACAACGAATATAAAAACTAAGCCAATAAATCATGTAGTAACTGACCCAAAATAATAAGAAAATTATGGGCTAAGGCCTATTTTGAGTTTTCTTAAAAGGTAAGCATACAACCATGAACCCGTAGAGAAGTCCATGATTTATTTTTTTTTGTCAACAAGTTCATGACATTTCGTTGAAAAGGTTCATAACATTCAACTTAAAAATATAAAATAAGGTTCAATAATAAATTACTTTTTAACAACACGTTAGGAACCAATACAATACATTTCAAAATAAATATAATTGGATGAAAACGTTTTAAATTGCCTAAAATAATAACAAAAGGAATTTTTGATTGGTAGATTAGCAGAATGCGTAGAGCCGTGTATGTCTCACTCAAGTAACTTAATGGGTGGGATCCATACGACTAGGACATTTCGTTTCTTATTAACATATAGACAATTCTATAGAGATAATAGTTTATGTGGTTATTTTCATTGGAGAATCTTCCTATAATTTTAAAATAAATAAACAGAATAAACAACTCAAAGTTGGACGTAGCTAAAAAAAAAACCTGGACAAAAGCTTCGACTTTGCTGAGTAGATAGTCTTGATAATCCGAAACTGAGATAAAACTCCCAAGAACATGATCATAAACGTTATAGATCATATCATTAGTCCCCGCACTAATCACAAACCAAGCATTATTAATCACCCTATTAGTCTCCGAGTCTCCAACCACATTCTTCATCTTACGCACCGCCTCCTCAAAGTAGCTCCACTGTTTATCCATGGTCAAAGTCAACGATAGCATGGCCGTGCGGTCATCTAAACCACCTCCAGCCGAGGCAAAACTAACGCCGGTCAAAAGGTCAAGTGGTTTGACCGAAGGGTCGAGGTAAGCTGGTAAAGTGGGTTTGAGTCCTAGAGAGGAGGCTAAGAAGTCGGTTGCGAGTTTTCCGTCTGAGAATCTTCCGGTGGAGAGTTTGGTCGGAAAGGATCTACCGTAAGGTGGGTGGTTGCTCCGGAAAAGAGTAGGGATGTAGTTGTTGTTGCCGGAATCTACCGTGGAGTCGCCGAAGGCATAAAGAGCCGTTATGGGTGGGGATGGTGATGCATTGATAGGGTTTGGAAGTTGGAGAAGAAGAGTGAACAATGTAAGTAGGATTGGTTTGTGATAATTAGGGTTCATGGTTTTGGTTAGTACTGTGAAGTGTTAGATGGAAAAGAGAGAAACACAATGTCGAAGTTGTTAGAATTGGAAATGTCTATATATAGATTTACCACATGGGTCCAAAAAAGGGTGTGAAGTTGATGTATAAGAAAAGAGTATGTATCACAATTTATATCTCACTCAATCATTACAATCATTTTATTCATATTTTCCGTTTCTCATTAATTGTATGATTTTCTCATATATTGTATGATTTTTTAAAATTCAGTATATATAGAGCTGCAATTCTCGTTATATGATTATAATACAATACACAAATTTAATAGTTGAATAATGTACTACTTTATCAGTATATAATTTATTCTCTAGTTAAATGAGATTTCTAGTAACCTTTTACAAATTTCAATTATCAAGAAAGAGGGTGATTTACAAGAGTGAAAAGAAACATCGAATTGGAACAATAGAGCATGAAAAGCCGTAACATTCTTCCTTTAGACTTTAGAGGAAATATGACCACTAACATAACAACTCGAGCCTCACAAAAATTTTCTTTTTATTATTTCAGTTCAGTAACTTTTATAATAGTGGTTTACCTATAGTTTCTATTTTTCAATAGAAGGTTGTGGCTGTGACCGGTAATATGTGGAGAAAAGTGGTGAAAATAAAAATGTGAAAACTGGTAGAAAGAAAAAGGTCAGATCCAACATCACATTTTCCTTATATATATGGTAAAATAATTAATCACTTCACTTTATTCACCTTAAGAGTAAATGGACAGAAAACAAAATTAATTAGATTAGATTAAAACAACAAAACATAAATGTTTATTACTCTACTTTTATTATGGTTAAAATTTCTTTTCAGCCACACTCTATATTTCTATGTTTTCATTCGAATATGACTATCCATTTACAAAATAGTATCTATATATGTGAGTGATGCGTCAAGAAAGTTAATACTCTTTTTGTTCCAAAACAGATGAATTTTTTTTTTAAAAAAAATTGATGTTTCAAAATAAATGATGTTTTAGTATTTTTATATTAATTTTAATTTTAGTTTTATTGAAGATTGTGTTCATGGTTTTTTGATGTTTAATTGAATTAGTTTTTATTTATATTTTTAATGATATTTTTTTTAACTAAAAGTGTAGTTTTAATTTTTGTGCATTAAACCATAACATTAACTATTTTGAAACCAAGGGAGTAGTAAACTTTAAGTTAGTTGCATTTTTAAGTCATACGTAATTAACAAATTTAGAAGCATATGCTATACACTAATGCACATATCATAAACGCATGTGCCGAAAGTGGGATAGGGATGGTCACATTCTGACATTCACATATGTATAAACAAATGATTGCGTTTACTTTTTTCGTATAGTATTAAATGGAACATATCAGAAGGCTTTCCCGTTATGTCTCAAATTAATAAAGAATAGAAAAGAACTGAAGATGGCTCATAATTAGCGTGCAAAGAGCTGGCATATACATGCCGATGATATGTAGCCTATAATGCGCGCCCATTAACTAAGTATTTAAATTTTTATCTGATTCTTGCTTGTGGCGAATCGGAAACTAGATTCCCTACCTGATTTTGGAATGTAAAACTCAATAAAATATACTCCAACATAAGCGGGAATAACATGGCGTGATACGCGTGGTCACAATAGGTTTAATTTCCTCGTTGATCGAGACGATCTTCTATACTTCACGCGTCATATGACTAATATTATACGATCGTATCAGTTCAAATCTCAAGAAAAGTCCGCATCGTCGTCGCGTATCCCAGATGCGTATCCCAGCTTGTGAACGCAAAGCTATGTACGTCAAGAGATACATTAAACAAACAGCAAATAAGCCTATATATTTATTTGTCTTCGTTGTTGTCATGTGGAACATAGTTGTAAGAAGACAATAAAGACGTGTTTTGCCTTTTTTCCTTTTTAATTAAGGACTGACTCCAAATGGCAAATGGCAAATGGCAAATGGCAATGGCAAATGGCAAAGGGCAAATGCCAAATGGGGCATTAATTGTTTGTTTCATCTCCTTTCCCTTTGTCTAGGGTGAATTGGCTGAAAATACAAGAAGTTTGTGCACTTTCAGAAGTTTATTTTAATTTAGTTCTAATATTTTATTTCATACTTTCAGAATGTTCTTAGCACTACGTTTGTGCAACTAAACACACCTAAGAAATTGTGCAACATAAATTAGAAAAAGACGTCTGAAGATGTAGTATATCTGTATATGGATGGTCTGATGTGTCATATTGTAACTGGTGGAGACTGAATAAAGAAATAATATACGAAGAACAAAATGTAGTTCAAGTAAAGAAGATTCGAAGATACCCAAGATATGAAAAATTAAATATTTTGGAGTAAAATATAAGCATTAATTAAAGTGGACTGAATATAAAATTTAGGGTTAGGCATGAATTGCGTAGAAGATGTAGTGGTCTCGGCGCGAGAACACAAGGCTGAAGGCTGCTTGGTTACAGGCAAATAACTCAGTTTAGTTTGTATTCGTACAGACTAATGACTTAGGTTAAACCTAGATCGAGTTCTAATGATTGGATCTGTGTCAAAGATGTATGCATCGCTTCAATATATAAATATAAATTGAAGTCGAATCCAAGAACGTATTAGTGTCGAGTAATTTCGTTAGATAGTATTTTTTGTAAGATTGTCGAATTTCTATAGGTATATTGTCATACATTATAGAATTGTGTTTTTGCTCATATATGTTCCTCGTGAGCGTTACAAGATCGGGTGATATGTTGATAAATAGGCCATTCAAAAGAAGAAATTGGCCTTTCTGGTATCATGGGAGGCCTATTTGAAGAAACATGGCCCATTAATTAACACATGTTTTTTTTTTTTTTGGTAGGAATTAATTAACACATGTTTCCAAAGGTATTGTATTTCTTTTTTTAAAACAAAAAAAAAAAATTGGAATTGTATTTCTTATGCTTGTGATGGATATGCGCTTCTTATAGGTATTACCGTATTAGGTTGTTAACAGATGTATGAGTTTAACAATGAAAAGAAGAGATGACCAAGAATTTGTACCTAATTGATACTATTTTTTTTTGCTTGAGAAAGTGTTAGAGAAAAAATAGGTAACTAAGGATGATATAAACCAAATAAGAATTTTAATAGATACCTGAAAATTGATACTATCTTTTTGAGAACCTTCGTTGATAAAAAAAAAACGCTTTCGTGATGTTTTAAAAGTTGAGAACGTGGCTACATAATGAATTTAGTATTATTTTTAAGAAAAAGTGGTTATCAAATTCTACAAATTCTAATTTGATTTGGAAACCTTTTCTTTAAAAAAATCATTTAATTAAGCTTAAAACAACAACACTAATACCTAGATGAAGAAAACTAACCAATTAATATTTCAACAAGTGTTATTGATACACTGAAGACTATTAAATGGGAGTTTGATTAACACTACCAAACAAAAACATAACAAAAGCCAAAGATATGATATTGAGAATAAGATTCACTTTTGAAGAATATCTCTTCTTCTTTTAGTGTGAAAAGACTTGGAGTCAATTGTTTGCAAGGAATCCTTTTGGTATGGTTGTAAAGATAACTAAAGAAGTCGAGAAAGAAGATAACGGAAAGAGGGGTTGTGATACAAAGAAGAAAGCAATGCTGAGCACATCAGCAAAAACAAAACAATATGTTGGGGTAAAGATCCAAAATCATATCTAATCTAATCTAATCTAGCTCATCCCAAACAAAAAAATATACATATACAACATATCAGTATAAGTTTAATTCCATCGTCTTTAATATTTGGAGCACAACTTTCCAATGTGTCTGTGTTTTAGCCATCTAATTTTGGGTAAAAGTTCTCAAGAATGTCTGCAATCTACGAGCATACCACCGTAAAACTTGTACATAAAATAAATCTAGACATTTTACTATAGTTTTTAACTGGTGGACATCCTAATAATGATTATACTAATATTTCATAGATTTCTTGTAGCATACTGTCTTCATAGACCGGTAATCGACTGATTTGTTTCATGTTCAAATAGTTTTAAAACTATTGTCAACAATCTTTGTTCCTCGCTTTTACACTAGATTTCGAATTCACTTTGTTAGCTTGCTATTGTCAAAGAATAATTAAGAGTCGTTCAGTTCTTGTTTGTATACAAGTTCTTTTTTTCTCTCAGAAAATTCCAAACCCATATTATATAGACTTGACATAGTTTGTACGTAAGATGCTATAGAAATAACGTACTGAAAGATTTGCGCAATATAAGTTTGTCTCCGTGCAAGTGAAAATGTCTCTGAGACTCTGCCGACCAATCTTTGACCACATGAAAGCTATGGCAAACATGAAGACAAATTCTCTCTTTAATAAATTCAACTTTACAGCCATTCTTGCATTAATTATGATCGCGAAATCATTAAAAAGCCGGTGACCGCCAGACCGGCTTTACATATCAACGCTCGAATCTTCTTCACTTCCTTGATTGTATCTCAATGTAAAAAAAAATATATATATATATATATATATATGTATTTTAAATATTACTGAATACATAAGTACATAATACATTTATATGTGAACATGAAACATCTATATGTATATCATCCTTAAGTATCATTTTCAAAGGGGCCTTAGCTTAGTTTCACATATCATGATGGATAACAAAGGTTACAGCGATATTTATGTAGACTTGTAGTATCGAATGATATTTGATCGATTCATGTGCGACGCCATCATATTTCTTTTTGGTTAATAAAGATAAGAAGCCAGTCAATTTCTTTATGGCTAAACGTTTAGCTGAAATGACAAAGTACTTTATATGATTAACAATACAAACAAATTTAATCATGTTCGAGAATAAGGGACTACCGATCTAATATATCAAAGGACATAGATACTAACAAGTTGTCAAAGCAAATGTCGGAACTAGAAGTATCAATCTTTTTTTTATGAGAAGGGATGGTAGCTACTTGCCCAATGCACAAAACCTGGGCCTACCAAATTCTTTCTCATAGGAGTGAACTAATATTCGCTCAGTGATCTATGACTACTATATATATGACATTGCTAGATATTAAGGTGCAATATATAGTGTTACTATTCTCCATGATATAAAGGTCAAATAACAAACATTAAATATATGTAATATCACTTTGACCAAAAAAAAAAAATGTAATATCATTTTTCACAAAATTTGTGTGTCCTAATCAGCTACTTAGCTGGCCGGGCCAGCAGTCTGCCTACATCCATTATTACAACTTCGAGATTAATGTGTTACTTTCATCATTGATCACTTCTTCAATGTTTAAGAGTTGCGTTTATAAATCGTGTATTCATCGTTATTATGCTAATATTATCATTATAAGATCTATGGTTAACCTTTCCACGGCATCTACTACGTCTAGCCTTTTTTAATGTCCTTGTCTCTGCGCAACAAAATCAAACGACGGTACATACATCAACTTGTGAAAGTGTGGAAGACGAGTAGCGACGACTTCTTGAAAAATTAGCAACTCTAAAAGTACGAGTGACACAAGTCACAAAACAAAACTTCTCCCTTCATTCTCATCACTCAGCGTCGCTTCTCCTTGCTAATTAACGTGTTATTGGTGTCACCGACACGAACAATACGTGTATTATATGGGAAGTGCCTTTCACTTTTCAGCATGCATCTACTCTATAATATATACGACCAAAGCTCGTAGATGACTTACTATAGCTAGAATCTAGATTCTTTGAGTGTTCCCAACCGGAAAAAAAAAAATAGGACTACCGCAACATGTGCATACCATATCAAGTCACCCTTTTAGTTTGTTCCCCATAAAGCAATCTTCTCACCTTATTTTTCTTGGTACAAAATCTTGCCAAATCTTCATTATTTCTTTTCATGAACAGAATCAAAACAATTCAAACCCATTTATCTGGATTACCGAATAATCCTTTAATCTTTTATTCAATGGGAATGTGAAATGTGTCCCACCATCTTAATTATTTATTTTGATGATAAGATATAATCTCTTGCATATAATCTAACGACATTATAATGTATTTAATACATAAACCTGATCACCATAAGATATCTGCATTCATTTCATTTTCTTTCTTACTAGAAACTCGTGTCGTAGTAAGATTTGATCGATCCTTGACTCTACTCATCACATTTTGGATTATGAATAACAAGGGGTAATTTTGTAGGGCCAAAATACACTGTTCTATCATCATTGAAAAAGAAGCTTTATATCATATATACTATAGGAGTGACCACGTTAAATATTTATGGGTCCATGCTAGAATTGACAAGACCACTACGGTGATTCAAGCAAATTTAAAGATAAAAGTGGCGTTGCTTTTGAATTTCTCTGTACATGTGATTTTAGTTTAAAGTGCTCATATCGTTTATTTATCTTCATTCGAATGCTAACCATTTGAAAATTCAAAGTCTTTAATGTTCTTTCGGTAAGACGGTAACACATGGCTCATGGTAGAGAGAGAGGCATTGCTTTTGCTTTTAGGGTTACTTTCCATAGTAGTACATTAGCTACATGGGACTTTTTACTATATAGGTATTACTGAATTTATCGAATAATTGCCTATGTAATTCCTTGCTGCGACATTAAAGTCTATTAGGAACTTAAATGTTCAAAATAATTATGTGTTACTGTCAAATAACCATATTTTTCTCTGTTATGTAACTTATGTTTGAATAATTATCGAAGAGTATATATAAAATTAAATAATATATATATTTCATTTTATATTCCATGAGTATATTTTTGTCTCTGTTCCAATAAAGTTATTCCGTGAGAATCTTGGCACCAAATCTTTCACTGTTGATTGTTGAAGACACATGCACCAAGCCCAAACAACAAGGCACATCATACTGTAAACCGCCACCACAACTAATTTTATTCTCAGGATTAGGTTGATTAGTTTGTGGACTTTCTGTTGTGTTTAGATTGGCTACACGAATTGGTTTATACCAATGCTTTTATCACTTTTAATAAATAGTTCGATCCCATGATCTAATAATTTTGAATCTAGATTAAAATTTTATGGTAATAGTACATTATTTTGCAGTCCCGTGTCTCAAAGAAAAAATCATATAGTTGAGTTGATGAGTTACTTGCAGATATCGTTAACATAGATACAAAACTATAGATATGTTTTCATACTTTTAATGTTCAGTCAATTTTAGTCTTTCATTTCACACCGTATCACATCAATTCAAAGACTTTGGAAAATAAACAATTTACTACTAATACTAAAGTAGATTGAATTAACCTAATTTAATACTAAATTTTTGAACATTTTGTTTTTTTTAACCATTGCCGAATAGGGGTTTACTTCATCTTTTAGATATTATTGTCTTCGATCCTTATTCTAAAGGTAAATACGATCAGCTTTACAATCGCATGGACAGTACATATTTTTAGTCAGCCATGAAAACAAACTGAACGAATTCACATAGACGCAACGCAATCTATGTTCTTGTACGTGATTAGTTAGTATAGATATTTACGCAAATGATTTACCTCATTTGTGTATTTGTCGTGTCGATGATCTAATTCAAATTGGTCGATGTACTTATTCGTGTAGATTGTATTATACATATGCGTGAGCAACCACCCACCAAACAATACTATCCATCAACTTTGATTACACAAAATGTCTCCGGATCAAGCAAATATCCCAAAATTAACCAAATATTCGTCTAAATCTTTTCAATATCCATAAAAGTAGTTTATCTCTTTTAAATCGTATATTAAACAGAAGGTATAAAACATACGGAGGATTATCCACTATTCCTTAAATTGAAAAATCAATATTGTCAAAAAAACTTGCAACACTTTCCCACCAACGTGATTACATATGCAAATGCAGGATACAATACAACACACAAGACATACCATGCCTAAAAACTAAAAAGAAGTCCTAAATTACAATATTATCCTACTATATCTCCCTACGTGAATATACAAGAGCATATATATATAACACATCGCAGAGACCCACCTTACAAATAAAAAAACAGAGCATCATAGAAAAAGTATAATGGGATCACTGGTTCATGTTAAAGAAGCCACAGTTATCACTCCTTCCGACCAAACACCTTCTACTGTTCTGTCTCTCTCCGCCTTAGATTCCCAGCTTTTCCTCCGCTTCACCATCGAGTACCTCCTCGTCTACCCACCCGTATCCGACCCGGTTTCTCTCTCGGATCGTCTCAAGTCAGCACTCTCTCGCGCCTTAGTTCCTTACTTCCCTTTCTCCGGCCGCGTCCGTGACGGAGGCGGAGGTCTCGAGGTTAACTGCCGTGGTCAAGGAGCTCTCTTTCTCGAAGCTGTATCTGACCACCTCACGTGCCTAGACTTTCATAAACCTCCCCGGCACGTGACTAGCTGGAGAAAGCTTCTCTCTCTCAACGTCATTGATGTCCTCGCCGGTGCTCCACCTCTCGTCGTCCAGCTCACTTGGCTCAGAGACGGCGCCGCCGCTTTAGCCGTCGGTGTTAACCACTGCGTCTCCGACGGGATCGGAAGCGCCGAGTTTCTCACCTTGTTCGCCGAGTTATCCAGGGACTCACTGAGTCAGACCGAGTTAAAGAAGAAACACTTGTGGGATCGTCATTTGCTTAACCGGTCTCCGGTTCGTGACTCGTTAAACCACCCCGAGTTCAACCGAGTTCCCGATCTATGCGGGTTCGTAAACCGGTTCAACGCGGAAAGACTCGTTCCGACATCGGTAGTGTTCGAAAAACAGAGACTCACAGAGCTCAAAAAGCTCGCGAGTCGACTCAGTGAGTCCGATTCCAAACACACGTCCTTCGAGGTCCTCTCTGCGCACGTGTGGCGGAGCTGGGCGAGATCACTGAACCTGCCCTCGAACCAAATCGTCAAGCTTTTGTTCAGCATCAACGTCCGTGACCGAGTCAAACCGAGTCTACCCAGTGGGTTCTACGGCAACGCCTTCGTCGTCGGATGCGCGCAAACCACCGTGAAAGACTTGACGGAGAAAGGGCTGAGCCACGCGGCGATGCTCGTGAAGCAAGCGAAGGAGCGAGTCGGAGATGATTACGTCAGGTCGGTGGTGGAGGCCGTGAGCAAGGAGAGAGCGTGTCCTGACTCGGTAGGAGTGTTGATAATGTCTCAGTGGTCACGTCTCGGTTTAGAACGGCTTGATTTCGGTTTTGGTAAACCGGTTCACGTGGGATCGGTTTGTTGTGATCGTTACTGTTTGTTACTTCCGGTTCCTGAACAGAGTGAAGCTGTTAAAGTGATGGTCGCTGTTCCGTCAAGCGCCGTTGACTCCTACGAGAATCTTTTGACGTGTCCTAACGCTTGATGATATGATTAGAGAACAGATGAATTCCAATTTTTACTTTTTTTTTTAAGAAAATAGTTTAATGAGATACTCTCCATCCGTTGACTTGTATAGTATTGAGTTTTGACTTGTAGAATACATTGACTATTCAACAAATGAACTGGTAATAAACCAACATAGATGCTTACCAAAACTAATCTCAACGGTAAAATCATGGGCTTAATAGACAAGCTGTAACGTCGGCTGAATAAATTCAAATACCAAACTTCACAGTGCAGTTAGACTTTCTTGCATCCTATACAAATTATTTTTGTAACCTTATGGAGTATCAAAAAGGAAAAAGGTTCTTTTTGCAATCCGTGATTTAGTGTTGGTGTAGTTGCATTGGTCCCAAGAAGCGCGATTGATGCAGTAGTATATGTCGGCAAGCAATAAGCATTATTGGCTATTATTATGTTAAAACATTTGCTATACCATTCACCAAACTTGTAGTATAATGTAATTTGTTACTATATGACGAATCATAGGTCAAAAGGGACCGGATAAATGATCATTGTGAAGTTACCGGTCGGTTACGATGCTCAATGAAATTTACCGGTGTGATGCCTCAGTTGGATAAATATTACTTCCATTTGCACAATAATAAACGGTTTGTTTTCTAAATTTGCTGATTTTGATTACAGCTTTTTTTTAATTACATTTATATTACAGTTAAGTGTGGTTCTATGTAATTGTTCGCTATTTAAAACAAAAATTAATAATTTATCCATAAACTACTTAATTGCAGAATCTTGATTCTTGAAAATTTTATACATAAGTTAGCTTTTAAAGCTGATGCTTAGCTTTAATCCATAAACTACATAACATTTTAAAACATTTGAAAATCAGTCTTGTCATAGAATAAACGTATAATCTAGCAAGTGCAAAAGTTTAATATATAATTCATTAAACTAACCATATTTAATACATCAAACATATTTTCAACAAATGAATCTCCTCCCGAAATATTAATCATATCCAAACTCGTATTTTACATATTTCATGTGAGTAGAATATGTTTACGTTCGAGTTTTGAGTCTGTTGACATTTCACATTGTTCCAGATTCTCAAAATATTAAATCGTTATGACCAATAGGCCTGAATATCACCATCGGAACCGCCCCATTAACGATTAAACACAGTTTGACTGAAATGTGATTAGTTGGAAATGTTTTCCTCCCATTAATTAATTTAAATTAGATTTTGATCCGCACATTCGTGTAAATAATATTTTATTTTATAATATTTAATTTTATTAATAAATATTTTAAATATATGATTTACATTTTAGTGTTATTTTTTTGTAATATTATTTTAGTGTTATATATTATGTACTTTTACAATCTTTTTAATTAGATTTCTAATTCGATATTATTCATATATAGTCATTTGCTTTATACATTTTACTTTTTTATTAATTGTTAATTAATACTAATATATTTTCAAATTCAATACAATAAATTCATAATATGAAATAATCAAATAGATAATCTACTTTAGATAAAAATTGATACTTTTTTTTAATAGTATAGATTTCAAAATCTGAATTTACAACTATATTTTTGACATATATTTTTAGCTTATATATAACCTTGGATTCCTGATTACAAATTTCATCTCCCTCCCACACTCAAACAATGGCAGCAATGATCGTTGAGTTTCAAAACTGCATCTTCCTCATTCTCCTCTGCTTCTTCTCATTTCTCTATTACTTCTTCAAGAAAACAAACGACATGGGTCCGAGCCCTCCCTCTTTGCCAATCATCGGCCATCTTCACCATGTTCTCTCAGCTCTACCCCACAAGGCATTTCAGAAAATCTCGACCAAGTATGGACCTCTCCTCCATCTCCACATTTTCAGTTTCCCCATATTCCTCGTCTCTTCTCACTCGATAGCCTACGAGATATTCACAACACACGACTTAAACATTTCGTCTCGCAACACAGCTGCCATCGACGCGTCTCTCCTCGTGTTTGGTTCTTCCGGCTTCACCGTAGCTCCTTATGGAGACTACGTCAAGTACATAAAGAAGCTTCTTGCCACGAAGCTTTTTGGACCGCGGGCTATCGAGAAGTCACGAGGTGTCCGTGCGGAGGAGCTAAAGCTATTCTATCTTAGGCTGTTGAAGGAAGAGAGCATTGATATCTGTAAAGAAACGACGAAGTTCACTAACAACGTGATCTGCAGGATGAGCATGGGGAGGATTTTTTCAGAGGAGAACGGTGAGATAGAGACTGTGAGGGAATTGATTATCAAGTCTTTTGGCTTAGCCAAGAAGTTTCTGTTTGTAAACGTATTTCGTAGGCCACTGGAGATGCTTGGAATGGTCTCATTTTTCAAGAAAGATATAATGGATGTTTCAAACAGATTTGATGAGTTGTTGGAGAGGATTCTTGCGGAGCGTGAAGAGAAGAAACCTGAGGAGGATCAAGATATGGACATGATGGATTTGTTGTTGGAAGCTTGTCGAGACGATAATGCAGAGTATAGAATCACTAGGACCCAGATCAAGGCATTGTTCGTGGTAAAACTAATATCATCAGAAACTATAACCGTTTTAAAATTATATATTATAAAATAAAATGTTATCCAATTAATTAACAGAGGTAAAACATTTGCAACTAATAGAGGGAAAAAAACTATAACCGTTTTATAAGAAAATTTCCTAGAATAGATATAATTTTTTTTTTTTAGTTTTTGAAATAAAAATAAACTAGAATAGATATATAGACCTTAAAAATAAAAATGACCAAAATAGATTTAAATGTTTTATCAAAAATAAATAAATATACACTTATACATTTTGGGTTAACTAATTCTACATTTTTTTTTGTTTAGAGTTGTAGAGTGTTTTTGGAGATAGGATCTCAAATTTCTTTTAAAAACTTAAAATTTTCAAAATAAAAAAAATATTATTTTAGTCATTTTAGTTTTTGAATTCTATATTTGTGATAAAAAATTTTAGAAATTTATTTGAGAGATTTCCCGTTTTATAATGTGTACTTATATTATTATTTTTAATGGAAAAAAGGGATTTGAAATGCTAATACTTATTACTACTGCAGGAAATTTTTATGGGAGGCACAGACACCGCGGCACACTCAACACAGTGGACAATGGCGGAGCTAGTTAACAATCCAAACATTTTTGAGAGATTAAGAGATGAAATTGATGGGGTTATAGGGAAATCAAGATTGATTCAAGAAACAGATCTACCAAACCTCCCTTTTTTGCAAGCAGTGGTTAAGGAAGGGCTACGCTTGCACCCACCAGCACCATTACTGGTTAGAATGTTGGAAAAAAAATGTGTGATCAAAGATTTCTTCAATGTACCGGAAAAAACAACACTTGTTGTTAATTTTTATGCTCTGATGAGGGATCCAGATTCTTGGGAAGATCCTAATGAGTTTAAGCCAGAGAGGTTTCTAACTTCAAAGCAGGAAGAGGAGAAAGCATTGAAGTACCTTCCTTTTTCAGCTGGAAGAAGGGGATGTCCTGCAACAAATCTAGGCTATATCTTTGTAGGAATCTCAGTTGGAATGATGGTGCAATGCTTTGACTGGAGTATCAAAGATAAGGTTAGTTTGGAAGAGGTTTATGCAGGAATGAGTCTTGCCATGGCTCATCCGCCTAAGTTCACTCCAGTTTCTAGACTCAGCCTTTAATGTGTTGAGCCCGAGTCTATGATCTCGAAGATCGGGTTGTGCTTCATCTTCTTCACTACATTACTCTTCTTTATATCATAGTTTGCTGTTGTGTATTTGAAAGTCGAACATCCTAATAAATAGATTTTTTTTTGGTTAAAAAAACATCCAAATAAACATTTGAGAATTAGTAATTATCAGAGCACATATCTCAGACTGAGAGTATTATTCTAGTTCTATTATAATTTATTTTTTCTTTGTTATTTATTATATACTAGAGATTGGTTAGACTTTCACTCGAAATGTCTGTTTTCAATAGTTTGAAGAGTTTGATATCGTGTTATGTTCTACCTATCTTAATTTGTGTGGTTGTCTTCTTTGTTTTTATCATCAATTTCATTCAATTTACTTATCGTAAGAAGGTTTAGTCTCCAACACATTCGGCTTGAGTAAATTACCTAATATAATTGTTGTTGAGATGGTTTGAAAGAGTTTGTATTGTGTTGTTGCTGACAAGATGTTTTGTTGCTGATCATTATCGCTGATTGCTAGTTGCTGAAACTTGTCGCCAGCCCATCGTCAACACGAAACAAACGTGATTTATAGACTATAGTTTTGTTTAGTCTGTGAATTATCAATATATCTTGTTTGCACACGTAGGTATGTGAACATATTTCTTGTCTAACTTAATCATTTTCCCGCGATTTTAGGATATAAATAACCTTGCACTAACAATGGGATCGATAAAAAGAAGGCATGGATCAGAAAGCAGACCCAAATAATAATACTTCTAAAGCAGGCTCCAGGATCTATATACTATAAAGGCCTTGATGACTAACGTAGGTCGAATTTCGTAATGCCTTTGGCGATTTTGTATTTTGTTTCGAGTCCACTAGTGTTTTTTTTTGGCATCATCATCCCAGAGCATTCACTTCATTCATACAAGGGTTGACATTATAACCACATCCTCGTTTGTAAAAGACTCCGTAAAACACTTCTTATAAAAACGGGAAAATGCAATCATGGAATGTGTTTCATCAAACACAAAGAATCTTGCACCTATGATATAAATGGTTTCGTGATTTGGTTAACTATTTTGTCAAATGATAGAGACTCCATGCATTTATATCGCGTTAAGTGACTTAGGTAGCATCTAATATTATATGTTTGATGATTAAAAAGGTAAGTTAATAATGATTCTTTTGGAGACATGGATTCAAACATCACAGGATATATATGCCCTTATGCCTTATCCAAAGAGAATAATATGTGCATATATATATACGCACACATTATAATGGCATGTTGATTAAAGTGCCGCCCACGGTTTATTGGCATGTGAACATTTATCATCTTGCTCGACAATGTTCCTCTCCGAACCAACCATTTCTTTTATATAAAAATCTTTTTCTTTAGCTTAATTTAGGTTTTAAATTAATGGTGTGATCTTGGAAAGAATTTTTTTCTATAAAAAAAATATTGGACTAGTCTGCTTTTGTAAATTTTACAGTTTTTACATAAACTATTAAATGGTAGGTCTTTTAAGATTTTAAATAGTTATCGTATTACTTTGGATACTCGTAAGTTGCGACTTGTGCTACCTCTATGACGGATACTTGTTAACAGTTCAGAAATTAATACTGATAGTAATGTAGTGAAAAGGTTGTAGCCATTGGTTCCTTGCAAACTTAAATTTGCTTAAAATCTTATTTGGGACCTTCACAACTAAGGTCAGACGTTCCTTTTCTAAACCCCGAATACTTATTATACTTTTATAGCCTACGAAACATCATACTGTAGATGGTATTTGATCCTCTGTTTAGGTTAATAACCATACTAATGAAAGCAACTGGTAGTGTTTGGAATAAAAATATTCACTAATCTTCCTTGAGTGTTCTCAATGATCGACTCATCGTTAGACAAGACTTCACATGAATTATGTGACTGGAATAATCAAGTTACATCGTTATATAATATATGGATAAATGTAAGAGAAATGCATGTATGGTGCAACTAGTTGGGTTCTGCGGCGACATAAAAAGGTGATAGTTCCAAGGCAGCTGGGCTGAGATCTCAGAAACCAGAAGAAAAAGCTTTGGTTCTTTCGCTGTCTTTGCTTCCTTCCTCGCCACCTAATCTCTCCCATGCAATATTCCCATTTTCTCATTTCATTTCATTTTTTCTCATTTCATATTTAAATTGACGGTAAAGCTACGTTTTTAATATATACTGTTTAATTATTTTAACATACGAGTGTTTTCAATATCTACATAATTGTTTGCTAAGATAAAAGGAAAGATGTGTAGTATCTAGAATCTATTCCGAATAGTATTATATAAATCGGACGAAGTTTTTGACTCGAACCAAGTCTTTTTCCAAGAATAGTAATTGAGTAGTCTAAAACACATATCTATGTGTGCTTTAAATAAAAGGGCAGAAAATAATGACTTCTGACTTTCTCAGTTTCTCTGCATCTGTTATTGTCTGTCCCTCCAGTAGCCGTATCTGCAACCCTCCGAGTGAGCAAATTATTTGTTTTCTCAAAAAAATTAACAAATGAAAATGATTCTGCAGCGTAAACTACCATTGACTATATGTAAATCGATTCTGAATTGTAAATATATGAAAACATAATTCACTAAAACATTAGGTATACTACGAATTGAAAAAAAAAGAGTTATAACCAGAGTTCTTTAGTAGTATAACCCGTTATTCAGAATCGATGATATTGATTTTGGTCATGTTTATTCACTTGTCAGTACATCTGCAAGTAACACGAGGGCTTACGTACCGAGTCCATTCAAAATTTGCTACATACTTCAAGAAAAGGATTTATTATATATAGTTACAGAAGATTAATTATAACTAAGCCAATCTGACATCGAATTACAGAAACTATGTTAAATTTACTAATACCTATAGATGTCTGAGACTAACAAACAGATTTGTTGACAACACAATGACTAGAACTAATAACTATTTTCACTTTACTAAAATCAGTAGATGAAGTAACAAAAAAAAAATCAGTAATGTTTTATGTTTGGTCTCGTTTTTGAGGAGTTGACCTACCCATCCCAGCTTCAATACTAAAAGAGTTGCTGACGTCTGCGACAGCTTAAAACTTGATAAATCTGAATACTTCTAATCTTTTTGTTAAACAAGAATATAAAGGTCCGCGGACATCTCCGTTCTTACTCAATCGTGATTTGTGTGTTTCTTCTTGTTAAAGCTACTTATGTTCTCTTTTTGGTTATAGATTTGGATACAAATGTTTTTTTTTGTTCAATAGAAATATACTGCTTGTAACCACAACCAGAAACAACTAGTATGACTTGTAATAAATACCCGTAACAACAAAAATGTCTTTGGTAGAAAACAAATGGGCTAAGTAAACGTTTTTTAAAAAACCGATAAAAAGGAGAGAACGAAGTGAAGAGAGTGTAAATATATAAAGAAGCACACCGCCCTAATCCACCATTCACAACGGTGCCATTCAAACACACTTCTGTCTCTCTTTCTTCTTGATTCGTCCTCTCCATTTTCCCCAATTTTTAATCTCTTTCTTTGTCCTTTCTTCTTCATCTATGGACCCTTTACCTTCCCAACAAGAACAACAACAACACAATCTTGACGATACTATCCAACAAACCCTAACACAAAATCCTCAATCCGATTCCTCCACCACAGACTCAACCTCTCCTTCTCAACAACGCAAACGTAAAGGCAAAGGTGGTCCCGACAACTCCAAGTTCCGTTACCGTGGCGTCAGACAGAGAAGCTGGGGAAAATGGGTCGCCGAGATCCGTGAGCCACGTAAACGCACTCGCAAGTGGCTTGGTACTTTCTCCACCGCTGAAGACGCCGCACGTGCCTACGACCGAGCAGCCGTTTTTCTTTACGGGTCACGTGCTCAGCTCAACTTATCACCTTCCTCTCCTTCATCGGTCTCTTCTTCAACTTCCTCCTCCGTCTCCGCCGCTTCCTCTTCTCCTTCGTCCTCTTCTTCCTCCACACAAACCCTAAGACCTCTCCTCCCTCGTCCCTCAGCCTTTGTCCCGCCGTGCGGTCTGCCTTTTACCAACAACGTGTTACTTTCTGGTGGGACCTCTATGTTATGCCCTAGTTATGGTCTTTTCCCTCACCAACACCAACAGAATCAGATGATGACGCAAGTGGGACAGTTCCATCACCAACCGTATCAGAATCTTCACTTTAGTAATAACAATAACAAGATTGGTGACGTGGAGATTACAAATATTCCGGTAGTTAATTCGACGTCGTTTCATCACGAGGTGGCGTTAGGGCAAGAACAAGGAGGAAGTGATTGTAATAACAACAATAACTCAATAGAGAATTTGAATTCTCTGTCTGGTTCGTTTGGTTCGACGGTTGTTGATCCGGTTAGTTCAATTGGTATGGATCCGGGTTATAATATGGTTGGAGATGCATCTTCACCGGTTTGGCCTTTTGGTGGAGAAGAGGAGCATAGTCATTGGGGGAATATTTGGGATTTTGTTGATCCTTTCTTGCTTGACTTTTGATGTATGATGAGAGCAACTCCAAAGGTCGGTCAAGAGCGTTGGAGATTCTAAGGATTCATTGTTGAATGGAATCAAAGGAGATTTAGCACTCGATGAGGAGCTTTGCATGCTTAATTTTTGGAGGATTTTTTTTTCTTCATATAGAGATAATTAAGAGGCTTTTTTACTGCTTTTTGAAGATATTTTATTTATTTTAATATCAGGGAATTCGTAAGGTTCCAATAAAGTATATACAAATGTGGAAGAAGAAGAGATGGTGGAATAATGAGGATTTATTGGTTTAACACTTCAAGAGTGGCTTATAGGATATGATAATTTCGATATTTTTTTTTAACTTTCAGAGGTTTATATATCTCATGTTTGCTCTGAGAGTGTTTTTATCATGTATTTGGGTTTATATATCTCATGTTTGCTCTGAGAGTGTTTTTATGAATTTGTATTAAGTTTGAATTATATATGTGAATCAGCAGGCAGAAACACATGAGATAAGTTCGTTGTATTTCAAGAACAGGTCACTACTGAATGCAAATCATCGATAGTCTTTCATCTCATGCAAGTTCTTCAAGCTCTGGTTATGTTACTTCTAAATAAGAAACTAATAAAACAAATGTGTTTTTACTGCGAATCATTGGAACTCTCATTGAAACACAGACTAAATTATCATTTATTAGCTAGTTAATCTGGATTTCGGTCTAGTAGTTTATATAGTGGATCATAACAAATGATCGTTTACCCAATTCTTTGACATTAGTCGGAAGATAATAATCCGAATAGTGTGATAACCAATTCATTTTATAGCAGTGTTTTTCTTAGGATTAGTCGATAGGATTTATAAAAAAGAACAAGAGTAATGCATGAGGACAACAATTTCTTTTCTTATAAAAAGAAAAAAAGATTCCATCAATGGTTGAACTTTGTAAAATAAAAATATGAAAACTATATATGCATATATTTAGCAATATGAATACTTTTTAATCATAACAAAAGAAAATAAAACAAAAACACAATTCTAGTTTAAAATTTTGAGAAAAACCTTCTCCTAATTTATTTAGAGCGGGGGTAATAATTTCACAAGCCTTAAGGCCCAAATATATTATATGGGCCAAGCAAACAAATATACCTCTAAACTAGGGTTCGCAAGTGGTATATATTCGTAGTTACGCTTCATTTCCACACCTTATTACCGTCACTGTGACTTCGTCGATCAGGGTTTTGAGAAAAAGAACTCCGCCATGAGAGCCAAGGTATATTGTTGATTTTCCAACATACATTTTTGTCTCTCAATCTGTTTTACCTCTCTTTACTTAGCATAAGCAAACTTTTTTTTTCAAAATGATGTGTTGCAGTGGAAGAAGAAGCGTATGAGGAGGCTGAAGAGGAAGAGACGAAAGATGAGACAGCGATCTAAGTAGACTCAGAGCTTGAGAGAGAGAGACTCCTCTTGAAGACTTTGCTTTCCCTTCTGCTTCCTTTGTTTCCCTTATTTCAGAGATCCTTATAAGTACTTTTGTTTTGGCCTCGTTTCAGCTCAGTGTTCTTAGCTTTGTTTTTGTTGGATTGTAGGGATCCTCAGTTAATGACAAAGTTTTATGTTTCCAATCACCATTTATATTTATCTTCTTGCACAAGTCAACCATAGTACGGATTTAGGTTTAATTAGTATTATCGTTTGGCTTATAGATCTTGTGGAATAACTCAGATTTATGTTTTACTACATATCTTGTTTGGTAATAACTGTCCACCACGTAATCTTGTATATGATGATCGTAGGTAGTATTGTGAGAATGTAATTGTTCTAAGTACGTAACAGAACACTCAACTCTGCTTGCTTTTCTGTAGTAGGCAAGCTTCTATCTCATGTTAAAAGAAATAATGATCACTCTTAATCCAAACAGATATTCTCAGGCTGTATGGTTTAAAGTTGAAACTCTGATAATTGTAAACAATCTCTGAGATTGCAACGGGTTGATCTTGGCAACAAACACAAACTTTGAAGATGACAGACTGTCTTTACTTGTGTCTGAATCACAGCAATTTTGAGATGGTATCTAAACGGTCGATCAACAAATGGGAAAAGTATTTGAGAGTAAACGTCATTCTGATTGTCTTGGTCTATGTCAGCGCTTTAACAAGAAAAAAAAAGAGAGTATAACCTAGCTCGTGTATGTCTAAAAGCTAGTGCAACAAGCAGTTTCTCTTGGGGTGTCATTTCATAGTAATAACAGGTCGAATAGCAGTTTTGAAGTCCTCACTAAACTGTTGTTCAGAGAACCTCCTCGCTCGTTTCCTAGCAGATCCAGCCATCTTTAACCTCTCTGTTTCACTCATCTTCACAACCTCAACGATCGCTTCAGCGTATTCCTCCACCGTCTCAGCAAGAAACCCTGTTCTCTGCCCGTCTTCTTCCAACACAATGTCCATTTTAGGTCCAGCAGAGTTGTGAGCTGCACAAGAAAGAAGCCATTACAAGAACTTAGCTGAGAGAAACCGAAACTTCAAGATAAGAACCAACATAACACAAGTCTGACCTATTGGGATCGCACCAGCAGCCATGTACTCAACAACACTAATCCCAAAGTGTTCATCTATCATCCCATGCATTCCTGCAACTGCATTTCCTAGCAGTGCCACTAGTTCTCTGCAATCATGTAAGCGCTCTGAGTACACACGAAGCAAAAAGTTTAAATAGAGAATATGCCATAAGGAGACCTTTGAGCAAACACACCTGTACATTGCGTTTTTATAGAACTCAACATCCCCATCTACTTTCAGCTCAACAGCTCTGTCTTTCAATTTCTGCAGCCGCTCTTCATCTGATTCGTTTCTACAACTCCCCACAAACTGGAGCTTGGGTCGAGGGAGACCAGGACCTAACTTCTCCAAAGCTAGTGAAAAGGCCTCAAGCTGAAGCATATGAGCCTGGTACAACACTCTAACTCAATAAGCTGGAATAAGATAACCAATGCTAACCATCAAAACTGTAGTACCTTACCTTCTCAGGACGAAACTGAGCAACTGATATGAAAACTGGAGGATCTGATAATCTTTCAAGAGGAAGTTTCTGCACATTTAAGCCAAACATGTTTAAAGATTACACTGAGCAACTGATATGAAAACTGGAGATCTCTGATGAGTTATCACCTGGAGTCCTGAAGTATCACAAGGCGGATAAACCCGTCTGATCCGTTCAGGTATCCTCCAAAGCACTTCGATATGAGACTTAGTCCACGAAGAGTTAACCATAGCTAGATGAGTACACGAGCCAACCATCCCATACAACAAGCTAAAACCTCTATAGTAAACTACTTTGCACGTAGACAACCAATCACTACAAACAAAAACAAACAAATCTCATTAATAGGTCTGAGACCCACCAAACAAACAAGTAGAAAAGAAAACAAACCTCTTGGCGATTGAAGCATCATTGTTATACATAGAGTTCCTCTTCCGAACACGAGAGATCATATCCAAACTAATCGTCGGGTAATGAGTATAACAAACAACTTTACAACCAAAGAGACGAGCAAGAGGATAACTAAACGCATAACCACTCGTGTCAACATAATACAAAGGAGTGAACTTTCTTAACGCCTCCCACGCTAAGTAAACAGAGCCAAGACTCTGACCAATCATAGTGAAACGCGGGTACGTCCCTTCTTCAATCCATTTCCTCTTGTTCAAATAAACCACCTGAAAAAAATCAAAACTTTAATCCAAAGGAGACACCTTTCTAGAGAGAGAAAGTGATAAACAGACCTTTGGAGGAGAGAGAAGATTGACGCCGAATCGATCAACGGCGCGGCGAGTTAAGCTATCGGAGGAAGAGTCGTGGTCTCCGGTGAAGACGACGCAGTCGAGATCGGGAGATTCTTCTTGGATGGCTTTGACGGCGCACCAGAGGACTCTCTCGCCGCCGCCGCCGTCGTTTGTGAAGGGGTGGAAGAATCCCACGGCGCGTTTGCGGTTCTTTCGTGCGGTGATGACGGAGAGAGATAGGGTTAGTGATAATGAGAGGAGGAGAGTGAGGAAGGTGTAGAGGATGAAGCAGATCGCCATGGAAGAAGCGTGTCGCTGAAGAACGAAATGTGTTAAGAAAGTGTTTATGTTCTGTCTTTGATTGTGTTTTTTTGAATATTACAGAAAAGGCCCTAGACTATGAGTGAATCGTAGTTATATCCCCTTTACTTTCAGAATTGATTTGTCACTATCGTTTTTCTTTCCCATTGTAAGAGGTTTTTTGTGAAATAATCAAAAGAAAAAAGTAATTAGTTTTGTAGAAGAATTAGAGAGAGATAGGAAGAAAGAAAAGGAGAGAGAATAGAATTTTGGTATATTTGTCTTTTTTTTTTTTTGTATACTTGACATAGTTTTCCATTGTAATAAGTAGGAAAGTGGTTTGGAATTTTTTTTAAAAAATCTACCACTAATTTTTTTTTTAAACATTTTATCATTAACTAATTTTGTATTTCAAATTACGAGAATTCTTGTAATTTTTGTCATTCAATCATTTCTTACAGTTTTATTTACACTACATAACACATCCACACCCGTATATTTTGATTGCACCATTATAAAATATATCTTATATAAGTTTTTGTATTTTCTGAGATTCAAAATCATGATCTCCTGATGTATAAGACTGTCTTCAACTGGATATCTATAAGGATTCTATCTCTTGATTCTAAATAATTATATGCTCAGAATTAAATTAAAAAGAAGAAAGAAAAATAGATAGATATGGTGTCATTTTTTGATTGGTTGATATTTTTAAGAGAAAAAATAATTTACACCTAATTTTTTTTTCTTTCTCTTTTGAAATTTAGAACATTTAATTTGTTATATCATTGGAATGATTAAAACTAAATAAATATCTAAAAAAAATTATTTGATTTAATTAAAAAAATCATTTTGAAACTCTAATACTATATCTATTGTTGGAGATGGTCTAAACGATCTAATGTATTATGGCACAATGATGTGGTTTATGTAGTTATTGTTTAAAAGTTTAAAGAAAATCTTTTAACAAGAGTGTCAAATTCAAGTTAAGAAAATTTAATTCAATAACTAATTAATGTCATATATTATCATAAGATCCAAGACTACTTTGGTAAAAAAGAAAGATCCAAGGCTAAACCCTCTTGATTTGACTTGGACAGTCTCAGCACTATGGAGACATTGTTCTTGTCAGTGAGCATTGGAACCATCTCAGGCAACTCTTCAAGAGTTTGACGTTTAACATAACAATGAAACCATACGATCATCTTCTCTAATGTCTTTGTGTTTTTAAACATAAGTTCCATGAACGAAGCCACGTGCCTCGACTCTACATCCCAATGACTCAGGTTCCCAAAGACCCTCGCGTCCAAGCTCCAACGCTGATCTTTTTTCACGCCTTGCAAATCCAAGTACGTGTCAATTTTATTCTCCTGTACAAGAGAAAAGATTTTCGATTATGCAAACAGATAGTCAATATTTCAGGTTCTACAAACCCAAAGTGAAAGACATGCATGGTTCTAGGACTATATATTTAAACTCGCTAATAGTTAGAATGGTCACGGAAACAAAGAAAATAAAATAGGCTTATACGGAAAAATACCGTTAAGGTGCCAAACTTCATTTTGTGTATTGTTGTTAGCTTCTTAAGTTTAGGTGAGTTTTGTAGCACCCTGACTATACCAGGAATTACATATTGCGAGATCATTGTCTTAAGTGTCAAATCTTTGACATTGAAGCTCGGAATGGGAACACAGCGGAGCTCGGCAAGAGTTAAAACCTAATAAGAAACATAGATAGATAGTAAATACCGAAACACAAACCTCTAAAAGAAAATAAAAAAGAGCATTGCAAAACAAGAACAATCATTGATGAATGATGAGTCACCTTTTTAACAAACATCTATAGCTGACTTCTCAAAGCGTGCATATAACATTGACTTAATGGAAATCAAAGTCTAGTGCATGGAAACTAATTTTTTGGCTTGCTAGAGTGTTCCAAAAAAAAAAAAAAAAATTGATTATGCAACATCTAGCTTTTAATAAGGAACGCAATAATGTCCTAGAAAACATACCCTAAGAAAGTTTTCTCCGAAAGTAAGCTTATCCACATGCTGCAACTTCTCTAGCATATTTAGCACCATTACTTGAAGAAAATCAGCCTTCAGATCTTCAAGTGAACAAAAGCAAATCTCCATTCTAGCTTCTTTTAAAGACGTGACATCAACTAAAGTACATGGTAACTGAGAGTTTTTCAAACTGAGAAAATGGATATGGGGTGCAATAATCTGCGTAGGCCCCGGAACCCAAATGTTACGATCGATTACTAATGTTCTCAGACGCAACCATTTGCTGAGATCAAGGACCAACAGTTTATCGCAGAAGTAAAGCGTTAAGCTTTCGAGAACCGGACAGCCAGATAGAATCTTATCCATGCATTCGTCAGAGAGCTTGCAAGACTTTAAGTGCAGAATCTTCAGAGATGTCCAAGAGACGGAGAAACTGAGTTGCTTGAGAGAGTTAACAGTGAGTTGCTTGAGAGAGTTACTGATGTAAAAGAAGTCAGGAACACGATAATTATGAGAAGGGAACTGCAAGGACATATTCTCAACGTTTCGGGACATGGTGAACTCGATCCATCTATCAATGTAAGGAATATCGCTTCCCAAGGTGGCATTGAGCTTGAAACTCATCATCTTGCGAGCCTTGTAGCGATCTAGTATTTTGTTTATAATATCACCTTTTGGACCATGTGGCGTAATCCAATCCAAGTAGAGGCAAGGTGTTTCGGACCATACATATCTCCATCTTTTGGACAAGATGGATGTTTTGATGGCGATCTTGGTCGGAAGATGGGAGAGGATACTTTGGAGGATCACGTCAGGTAGAAAGCTGATTGAGTCTACACCGTCGCTTGATTCTCCGGCTTTGTTTTTTTTGGTCATGGTGGCTATAGTTTCTCCATCTCCGTTTCCGCCTTCGTCCGCCATCCTAAGTTGTCATTGGTGAACTAACCTAAGGCTAGGGTAGAGGTGGAAAGATCCGCATATTCAGAAAATTTAGGATGACCGGATCCGAATTCAATTTGGTCGGATCCATAATTCTAGTTTCGGAATCCGGGCCATCCAAATATCCGGATTTCAGATATCCATCTAGACATTGTGATATCTAGGCCTAGTGATATTCGAAGTCGGATCGATAAAAATAATTTAAAATAACACATATTAAATGTCTATACAAAATTTATGAATCTATATATATATGTATATATATATGACATGTAATGTTATTAAATTAAAATATAATATTATAAAATTATGTATAAATATTAATATATCAAATATAGTTTTTAAAAAAAAAATTAAAAGTTTAATACATTTTTTAAAAACATAATTAGATCCGGATATCAAAACCTAAAAATTAAGATATCCAGATCCGATTTGGTTGTATCCGGGATTTTACTCTCTGGATTCAGATCCGTATACCCCATATATCCTTTTTTGAATCGGATTTGAAACATATCTCGGATCGGATCCCGGATAATAAGTCTCATACCTAGTCTACCTAGACTAGGGTAACACTTTATTTAGTTTTGTATATAAAAACACAAGCTCAATCTTAAAAGATAAATATCATAATTTTTTTTTAAAAAATTGACATATTCTAAATACTTTTAACTTCTTGTATGCATAAATAATAATATTATTTATTTAAAATAAATAACCATAATAAAAAACTCAAATGATTTCTTTCTTTTTTTCAACTTTCCATTTTTTCTGGTAGAATTTATTTAGTTCATGTATATGTTCATGAGAGTTTACTGAGGTGTTATTAGTTGATGAAGTTTAATAATTTTCAAAGCCAAAAATAACCTAGTGTTATTAAATAAGTTGATTTTCGTTTTAAAGTTTAAAGAAAAACATTTTAAGAAAATGGAACTTAGAGTTAAAACTCAAGCTCGAAATTTTAATACAATAAGTAATGTCATATATTATCGTAACATCCAAGTATACTTTGGCCAAAAAATGATCCAAGACTAAACCCGGTAGAGCTTTATGGAGACATTAATGTTCTTATCAGCGAGCATTGAAACCATCTCAGGCAACTCTTCAAAAGTTTGATCTTGAAGACAACTATAAAACAAAACGACAATCTTCTCTAATGTCTTTGTTTTTTCAAACATAAGTTCCATGAACGAAGCCACCTGCCTCGACTTTACACTCCAATGTTTCAGGTTCTCAAAGATCCTCGCTTCCAAGTTCCAACGCTGATCCGGATTCAAGCTTTGTAAATCCAAGTAGTTGTCAATATAGTGATCCTGTACAACAGAAAAGGTTTTCGATTATACACACCGATAGTCAATATTTCAGGTTTCTACAAACCCAAAGTGAATAGGACATGCATGGTTCTGGACTATATATTTAAACTCGCTAATAGTTAGAATGGTCAAGGAAACTAAGAAAATAAAAGTAGGCTTATGGAAAAATACCGGTATGGTGCCAAGCTTCTTTTCGTGTATTGTTGTTGTTAGCTTCTTCAATTCATGTGAGTTTTGTAGTAGCCTGACTATACCAGGAACTACATATTGAGAGATCATTGTGTTAAGTGTCAAATCTTTGACCTTGAAGCTCGGAATGGTAACACCGCGGAGCTCGGCAAGAGTTAAAACCTAATAAGAAGCATAGATAGATGGTAAATACCGAAACAGAAACCTCTAAAGAAAATAAAAAAGAGCTAAATAACTAAAGCATTTCAAGACAAGAACAATCATTGATCAATGATGAGTCACCTTTTCACAAAGATCTATAGCTGACTTCTCTAAGAGTGCATATAACATAGACTTAATGGAAATCAAAGCCTAGTGAAAACAAATTTATTGGCTTGCTAGACTGACGTGGCAATGGTGAAGTAAGTGTCTATACAACATCTAGCTATTAGAGAACGCAAGTAAACATACCGTAAGAAAGTTTTCTCCGAAAGTAAGCTTATCTACATGCTGCAACTTCTTTAGCATCTCTAGCATTATGTCTTGAAGCAAATCAGCCTTCGGATCTTCAGGTGTACAAAAGCAAATATCAATTCTAGCTTCCTTTAAAGATGAGACATCAACTAAATTACATGGTAACATGGAATTGCTCAATCTGAGACAATGGATATGCGGTGCAATAATATGCGTAGGCCCCGGAAGCCAAAAGTTACGATCGATTACTAATGTCCTCAGACGCAACCATTTGCTGAGATCAAGGACCAACAGTTTCTCGCACAAGTAAAGCGTTAGGCTTTCAAGAATCGGACAGCCAGATAGAATCTTATCCATGCATTCTTCAGAGAGCTTGCTAAACTTTAAGTGCAGAATCTTCAGAGATGTCCAAGAGACGGAGAAACTGGGAAGTTTCAAATCACATATAACACTGAGTTGCTTGAGAGAGTTACTGATGTAAAAGAAGTCAGGAATACGATAATTATGACAAGGGACCTCCAAGGACATATTCTCAACGTTTCGGGACATGGCGAACTCGATCCATCTATCAATGTAAGGAATATCGTCTGTCAAGTCGGCACTGAGCTTGAAATTCATCATCTTGTGAGCCTTGTAGCGATCTAGTATTTTGTTTATTATATCACCTTTTGGACCATGTGGCGTAATCCAATCCAAGTAGAGGCAAGGTGTTTCGGACCATACATGCCTCCATCTTTTGGACAAGATGGATGTTTTTATGGCGATTTGTGTCGGAAGATAGGAGAGGATACTTTGGAGGATCTCGTCAGGTAGAAAGCTGATTGAATCTACATCGTCGCTTGATTCTCCTGCTTCTTTGGTTGTGTGGTTTTGGTGGCTATAGCTTCTTGCGGCGGTTGCACCGTCTCCATTTCCGCCTTCGTCCGCCATCCTAAGTTGTGATTGGTGAACTAACCTAGGGCTAGGCTAACACTAAATTTCGTTGATGAAGTTTCATAATTTATAAAGCCAAAAATAATCTACTGTTATTAAATAGTTTATTTTTGTTCTTTTTATAAATCTACTGTTATTGATTTTTGTATTTAATATATGTTCATTATAAGAATTTAGAATCTAGTGTTATTGATTTTTGTTTTTATATAAAAATTTTGAATCTAGTGTTATTGATTTTTGTATTTATGATATTTTTTAAAAAATATTTTAAGAAATCAAATGTTATTCAATTAATGATTTCAATGACCAAATAAAATCTAGTGTTATTAATTTTGATTGAATTATGATATCTTGTAAAAATAATTTAAAATCTATTGTTATTCAAATAAAGATTTGAAATGGTCAACTAAAATCTAGTGTTATTAATTTTTGTTTGATTTTCATTGTGAAAAATGTTTAGAAAGAGTGGAATGACTTAAATATTAATTTATGAGTAAAATTAATTAGCAATCAGATTCCAAACTTTAACCAAAAGATTTTCAGTTGAAGAATCATCATAGTTATCAACTTACTTTCCTCATGTGTATTTTCTTTTCTTTTTTTTCACATAGTGGTAAGGTCCTTTTCTTGTATAAAATAGTGTACTTCCTTTTTTGTGAAGTAGCATAAATTCATCATTTGGTCCTCCCGTTTGTGTCACTTACTCAATAGAAGACTGGAATGATAATTCACCAACCGGATTGATTAACACATTATAAGTTGTCAATAATCAAAAGGGTTTAGATGCAAGGAGATCGTAAGCTAAAGACACATAAATCTTGATATCACCAAGTAAAAAAATATCAACTAACTATGTTTGAAACTTATATTTACATGTGAATACCGAACAAAATTATCACATAAAACTTGATAGTTTTAATCAATTTTAACTTAATACTAGATATTAATGAATCATGGCACAAACTGTTGTAGCTGGATTATGATTAGACTAATATCATCCAGACACCCTCTCTTACACGATACCTCGGCTAGTTTCTTGCAAGCAGAAAGTGTCTTTGTATTCTCCATGCCTACACAGTACGGCCGAACCACATCAACCGCCTCCTGGTTCGTTACCTATAATGTCCACGAGAATCTGGTTCAACATTCAAACCGTAGATTTTTTGCCCAAAAAAAAAAACATTCAAACCGTGCACTACAAAAAGAATCTTGAGGCATTTTGATTTATGCTTACCTTATCCCAGAGGCCGTCAGATGCTAAGATCAAGAACTCAAATTCCGGTTTAATACGCAATATTCTTGTTTCCGGTTCAGCTATTACCCATTCCTTGAGATACCGGTCTCCAATTCCTCGTGAGACTGCTAATGTTCCTTGAATTCTCCACACGCCGTTGCAGCAGTCAACATAACCACCCTACACAAAACACAAAAGTAAACCGAACCAATCAAACAAAACCGGACTAATACATCTTGGAATTGCGGAATAGTAGAATGATAATATTCCTACTTTGCAGATTTTAACCAATCATATTTTAAGTGAATTCGCATTTTCTTTCATCCATTAAGCAATTCCATAGATTAGATAATATATAAAAATTATGTCCCAACTTTTTAGATTTGATAATATATAATTTTTTTATAATGTATATATTTTCATAATTTATAAAACTCACCAATGCTTCAATCCTTTTGAACTCATTAGCTTGAGAAGGAGTGTGATCGGTAGTAAGAGCCTCCGCAACACCACCGCGGCTTATAACAGCCCGACAATCTCCGGCATTCGAAACCGCAACCTCACCTTCCGATATCAGAGCGGTTACACAACACGCGCCACCCCTCGAGCCTTCTTTCAAGAACTCCTCGTCCGTTTTGATGTAACCTTCTCGTATCGCTCTCTCCACCGAGTAACCTTCTTCTCCCGATCTCACTGCCTCCATCGCCGCCTCAATGTTGTTGCCGAGACTCTCCGCCGCGAACTCCGCCGCTTTGGAACCGCCGTGACCGTCGAAAACGCCGAAGAAAGCCTTCTTGTGAACTCTCTCAACGGCCGAGACATATCTATCTTCCATCGCCCCGCGTCTTCCTCTCTTGCAATAAACGGAGTAAACTCCATCTTCTTCCGCTTCAACAACCTCTTGTGACTTTTCCGGCGTCTTCACCGTCGTACTACACCACGAGGCAACCGCCGGAGGCTGCTTTAGGTCAAGCATCGGTGGTCGTTTTCTTTTCAACACAGTGTTGGAATCAGGACTCGGAGACGTCTCCTTTAGCTTCCTTGGATGACACGCTACCATTGTCAGCTTCGGTGGTGTCGAACAAGGTGAAGACGACGGCGTTTTGACCGACGTCGGAGAGAAAACAAGTGGAGATGGGAAGTAAACCGGAGATTCCGGAGCCATGGTTACTGATCTATTCATGGTATAGTCGTCGGTGTGATTCTTAGAGAGTTGCATATATATAAAAAGGGTAAAAATAGGGTTGCGTTTTTGATTAATTTATATCTTGTTGATTACGTCAGAGAAGGCAAGGACCTTGTGAATAGAGGAATAGTGAGCGGTTAGGTTTTTTTATATACGACCAAGTTTTTGGTCAATGGTCAACGACGATTATTTCTCTTTCTGCATGCTAATTTAAAACCTATATACGTGACCAAGTCTCTCTATCTCTCTTGTAGTTTAGTCAAAGTCACGTCGGTGCCAAAAGTACATATCTCTATCATAATTTTCTTATGTTTTATCTTTATTTCGTAAGATGTGCTCGACTATATGTTGCCATAACGAGATTTCGTATAGTTGAATTTCTAGTTGGACCCGGATATCACGTGAAAATATTTAAGTTTTTGAATGTTGAACTACCGTCCATTGAATTTAATTGTGTCATTAATTTGATTATTCATCTAATTAATCAATGACCGTAGTTAAGATAATTAACTTATTCAGGTGAATTAATTAATCTGAACGCACAAACACATGCACTGGCTGCAAATGTTCGTATCCAATGGTGTACATTCTACAAGAAAACTCATGGCTGTGTGATCCTGAGTTTGAGAAATTAAGTGAGAATGTATTATGAAGAACGTGAATTACTAGTTCATAGCTATAATAACTATAGGTTTTGATAAAGTTTTTCATAAAGTCTAGCTTACACGTCTTAACAAAATAAAATTTTAGTTTACACGCTAGAAAAAGTACTATATTGGCTTCTAAACAAAAAAAAAAAATGATAAAATCTTTTTTTTGGGCAACAAATGATAAAAATCTGTTAATAAATATACACATAAATACGAAGACTTTTTGTCAAGAAGGGGACAAGTACGAAGAATTATGGAGCTAATCAAATCTGGTCTTCGTATAATTTTAATTTAAAAATTGTATGCATTTTTAATAAAATCTTGCCTTCATTGCTAATTAGCTTAAACATCATGAACTTTCAAGTCAATGCTAGTCTATGAATAATATTTAATGTTGATATGAATACGTAATGGTTCCCAACTTTTGATGCAATGTATTCGTGAACACAAGTGATGATTAGACTCGGAACATATGCATTTCTAGAAAAGTTATCCATTTATAGGAGTTTAATAGTTTTTGGGCTTAATAATATATATATAGCTCATAATTTTCATTTATATGAAGGGTTTTAATCATTCGGTATATGATTTCAAAACGTAGAACGAAAAAAGACGAATGGCTTTCTTTGTATACCTAGCAAAATGTATTGTATTAATTCTTTCAAGGAAAGAGAGGAACACCCTCTCGACTCGAGGCATCATACCATACGGTAAATGTGTATGCACTAAGGCATTTGTGTGTATATGATTGAGGACAGTTGACCCTTACTCGTCGTATTTGAATAGAAATAACTTTCCTCCTAAGTCTCAGTCTTGGGACATCCATTTTGACTTGGCAAACCAATTTAACATTTAGAGTTTACTTTTTGGTTAGCAAATACAACTTGAAATATACTAACATACAAGAAAAACATGTTCATCTTTGTAACTGACATAATATCGACATAGATATCTGTTTGAAACAATCTAATTCGCATCCATAAAACAATCAGTTAATCAAATATGTCATATGTAATCAGAGGTTGAAGATTGGATAGTTAATAAGCTATGTACACACATCCAAACCAGTAAAGAATGCCACATACAAAAAAAACAATGTGATGGTCAAAACTGAGGGGCACAGTTGCCCGTCATCAATTGTAGTCCAAGATTATGTTGAATAAGAAAGTGAGGTTCCATCTGAAGACCTCGGATATAAGATTAGAAGAACAAAGAAAAATCTACCACTGGTTATTCAATTGTAACCGATTACAATTGGTTATATATTGTTTCTTCACATTTTCTATGAATACAAAACATTCACACCGATAACATTTATATCAGAATTAAATTCTAATTTATTTCTGTCATTGCTGCTTTTTAAGAACAAACTTGTGGATTAACGATGGCAATATCATTATCACGAAACTGAATTTTGAGTGTGATTTTCTTAAGACATACGAGTCAATTGCATGTCTATCAGGGTTCTATTAAAAATCTGCTATGATGTCGTTATTGTATTTTAATAAACTGTATTAATGTTTTTCCATTGTTCATCATCAAAAAGATCGAGCTTGATGCTAATTCTTTTGTTGTTAAAATCTGTTCCGATGCTTATCTAATTTAACGGAGACTTTTAATATTCATAGTTGTTGCCATCAAGGGGTGGAAGACTTTTTTCAGTAGTTCAATCTAGACTCAAATGAAAGAATAGCAAACACTATGCATGGACCACCTAATGTCAACGACTTGTCAAGCAAATTATACACCTAACGGTAACGCACGAATTGAGTGAATGAGTTACAACATCTAAACTACCCTTATATATATATATATATATATTGTGAAGATTATAGGGTTCTTCATTTTGAAAACCAGACGGACATCAACACAGCATTGTAGTGTTGTCAATGGTCGGACTGGTTCAACCGGGTTTTAGTTTTAATTTTAAATCTAATTTTAAATTAAATAACTATATATAATGTATAACTGTAAATTATTTTTATAAAATTTTATATCTTTAATAAAATCTAAAGATGATATGGAAGTAAAATGAAAATTTCAAAAATAATGTAAAAATATAATAAAAACTAAGTCGGATTTTAATATCGAACTAGATAGTTGGTTTTCGCGAATTTGATCGATTTTTACCAGATTTGTCGGTTTAACTCAAATCTGATTTTTCGGTCCGACCGGTCCGATCCAGTTTCAAAACACTAGTTCTTCTTCACGTAGTCATATTCATTTTAAATAGAATGAAATAATCTTTATATATAACCATTCAATGCAACACACAACAACTTCCGGTGGTATGGTTAAAGGACACGCGGTGAAGCTTCACGGCACTTCCAAGTTCCAAGTATACGTCAGCTAATTCACTGCGACACGTGGCATTTCACTAGCAAAGAAGAGCACACGTGTGACGTACCGATTGTTCCTGAATCACCACGTTGAAACACTAGCAAATTCACATCCGAAACAGTGCCCATCTATATACATAGACTAATCTCTTCGAGTATTTGTAATCATCATCATCATCAAGTCGTTTTGTTCTGTGATAAAACAGTCTGTGTGTTTTTTTGTAACTTGTGTTGTAAGTATTAAGTTATGGCATCTCAACAAGAGAAGAAACAGCTAGACGAGAGGGCGAAGAAGGGTGAGACCGTCGTACCAGGTGGTACTGGAGGCAAAAGCTTTGAAGCTCAACAGCATCTCGCTGAAGGTTTATCCATCTCTTGCTCATTACATGGCTGCGTATGTTTCAAGTTATAACTATAGACTCTATAGTAATTAATGGGATTGATATTATGTTAAAAGGGAGGGCCAGAGGAGGGAATACGAGGAAAGAGCAGTTAGGAAGTGAAGGATATCAGCAGATGGGTCGCAAAGGAGGTCACAGAAACCGAGACAAGTCTAGTGGAGAAGATGTCGATGAGGGAGAGGAGATGGACGAACCCAAATCCAGGACTAGGACCCAGTCTTAATATTCCGATGGATGTGTAATAAATTAATAATCTTGTTTTAAATCTTTCCATGTAGTTGTGTGTTTGGTTTCAATGTCATAAGTTCTTGTTTAGTTCACAAGATGATGATGACCATGTATGTAGGTTTTCGTCTCCTAGTAAAGCTTGTGTTTCGTTTGTTATCTATACCAACTACCAAGTTTTTTCGACTTCCATTCATGTCTTTCATGCAATAGTTAGGATGGGGTCCTCTACTTATTTAGCCGGTTTATTAGAACATTTAGCCGGTTTAGTTGAAACAGGGTATACACAGTTTACTGGTCTGATTTACTAATTCGCAATGCTTACAAGAATATCAAATTTGTGAATAATAGAGATTGGAGAGCAACTCTGTTCCATGTATTTGGCAATCCGAGACACCAATGACAACAATCTGCTACTATTTGGAGTTCTTTTTGGACATTTACATTTTTTTCATATAAGACTTTGAAGATTGACATTCTGGTGTAAGGTCTTTTTGCCTAAGAGAATGATTGGACCATACAACCGTGGATTGCAATGGTTCTGGTGTATTAAATCACCTTTGAAGATAACTTTTCCCTGAGTTTCTCTAGCAGTAGTTTTGTGTCCGACCTTGAACCCCAAAAGAAAAACAGAGTATTCTGATAGAAGAAGAAGAAGAAGAAGAAGAAAAAAGTGTGACACAATTTGCTAATCTTTGTTCTCAAAAAGCTGGAACTGAGAGAAGGTTACATTCATTTTCTGTAATATAAAGGATGTATGACAGTATCCAGAATCAATTTTATGTGAAAACGTAGCAGCAGGCTTCTAATTGCCACAGGTCAAACGTCTTGTGTACATTTTTCTTGTTTTATTGTGGTGAACTGATGTGTTTTTGTACATTTTTCTTGTTTTATTGTGGTGAACTGATGTGTTTTTGTACATTTTTCTTGTTTTATTGTGGTGAACTGATGTGTTTTTGTAGTTTATCTGTCTTGAATTCGTTAAACAGGCCAATCCTCTCTCTACTTCTCATTGTACACATAGCATCTGAGAAGGAACAAAGGAAGAAGAATGACTGCAAAATATAGTATACAAAGCCACTAAGATCCTTTATTGAACTCAATATCAATTATTTTCTTTCAATCATTACATAGTGTCACAAAGACAAGAGAATGACATTTAAAAAAAAAAGAGAACATAAAGAAACATATACTAGTAGATAACACTATGGGTCTCAAACACAAATCAAAGAATCATTGCCAGATTTGTTAGATTATATTCTTGCTCCTTACACCACAGTCTGCTGCTTCTTATGGTCTATGTACATTTGCTCTGCCCACAACGGCATCTTAAACTCGTCCCTAACCGTTTCACCACCATTTAAACCAAACGCTCTCTCCTGTGCACTATCTTTCACCAGTGAGTTCACCCACGACACATCTGGCTCATCACTGTAGTCTCTCACAGGACGTGACACATTGTTATTCCCATTAATCCCAAAAGAGACACTTCTCCTCATCTTATTCATCTCCTCTCTTTGCATCCCCCACTCAACCTTCCCATTTGGTGATCCCCAATCCAACACATTACACGCAGCTACTGGAGCTGGTTTGAAACTCAAACTGCGTTTCGCAAACGCTGAAGATCTAGCGTTCATCACCGCAGCTGCCATAGCTGCTGAAGATTCAAACCTCTGAGGAGGAGGTGCCTGCCTCACAGGAGAAGAAGGGTAATGGTTCATCTGAGAATGCTTACTTGGAGACTGAAGTTGTTGCATCCCACGTAGCCTAAGTTCCATCTCCATATCCATGTCTCTAGCACTCAAACTAGACTTCAATCTACTACCGTTAAGCTGCAAAGGCGGTGGTGTGTTCTGCCATAAACCAACGTTTCTTGGAGACAAAGCAACACCGTTATTCCCCATAGGAGACATCATCTCAGGAGACTGACTAGACGATCTCGGTGAAACCATTGCTGAGCCAGTAGAAGCATTAACCGGTCTCAACTCATCTCTCCTATGAGCAAAGAAACAAACTCTTCTCGCACAACCAGTCTCGTCTTTACAAAGCCGAGTCTTGTACTGACCAGGGTGAAGCCAAGACTCGAAGACACCGTGCGCATACTCGCAAGAATCTCCTTTAGGACAAGACCCTTTACGAAACTCAGGACAAGGGACACAAGTGTAAGGATACTTCCTCGGATCTCTCCTTCTTGCGTTCTCGCCAGGATGAAGGAAAGGACACTCTGTCCAATCGTGTGAGTAAGCCCTAGAACATGGCTTGACCTTGAAGCTAAACATTCTAAACTCGTCTGTTCCGTAAACACCTTCGTTGATGTCGGGAAGTGACGCATCTCCTGGATACTTAGACACAACACTCTTCACTTCCTCCTCCTCCTCTTCCATCAAACCAACCAAACCGTGGTTTCCGGTTAAGAGAAGCTCAACAGCTTTTCTTGTCTGGTTAGGTATAAACCGGGAAGCTTTGACCAATAAATCAACCGGTTTGTTCCCATTAGCTTCAACGATATTAGTTGAAGCAGAGGCATCAAGCAAGATCTTGATGACTTCAACGATTGAGACAGAACAAGCGGAAACTGCACAGTGAAGAGCAGTGACTTTCTCGTCACGCGAAACTCTGTCCACGTCAGATTTTCCAGTGGAGATTATGTAAGTTAGAACATCGATGCTTCCGTACATAGCAGCAACCATGAGAGGTGTTCTTTCTTGAAAACCCATCTTCTTCGACCCGACCCGTCTGCAGTACCAAAAGCCCGGTTTGTTGATATCCGACGAATTCTCTTCGATCTCTCTCCTGAAGGATGGAAGATCATCGCAGGCCGCGAGTTCAAGAAGACACGTGGCGGCTGCGACACCTTCTTCTTCTGATTTGCGTCTCATGTATTCAGCTTCCGTTAGGGTTCTTGAAGAGCAGAGGTTGCTCTCTGAGCCGCACATCTTCTCTGTGAGATTCAAAAGAAACCGTGAGGAGCAAGAAACATGAATATAGCTATCAAAGGAGGAGAAAGAGAACGCTAGCAATATAGTTTTGATTCCAAATTTTCAGTTCTTATATTTTCAATATTCTTTATATTTTTAATATTCTTTATATCCCAAAATTAAAGAAAAAAAAACAATAAGGTAACTGAATAAATAAAACAATAAGGTAACTGAATAATCTCTATTGATTCAAGCGAACGACAGTTTCTACTTTCTAATCACAAACTTTTGTTTGTTTAATAGCACTCAAGGAAGAAGAAAGTTATCAAGAACTAAAGATTTAAACTGAAGAATCTTAAGAGATTAGGTAAACGTTATACAAGTAGCAAAAACAGAGAAAAGAATCAACACATGATAGAGGAAAGAGGAAGTCATCACATACCTAGCGAAGAAGATAGAGCTTTGCACGAGAGAAGAAAAGGTTTGGAGAGACTTTGAGGCTTTTGAGATGAAGTAGAAGACGTGGTTTAAGGTCTTCTGAAGAAGGAACCGTATAGAAAATGAAAAGGCTCCTTTTAAAAGAGAGCTTTGTTGCGAAGGAGAGGAGGAAGGTGCCCTCTTTCTTTCGTCTACCTTTCTCCTGTCTCCTTTTCTTTTGTTTTTTTATATCTAAGTTTTATTATGTACTTTCCTTTTGTTTTGTTTATTATACTCGTCGTAGAAATGGTTTAGGTCAAAAGTCAAAACTAGGAAATTTCAAAAGGTAATGACGTCGCTGTTTTGCTGATTGTTTATACGCAAAGTTTTTTAGTCTCTCTTTTTTTTTGTGCTTTTGGAAAAATATATTATAATTGATTCTCTCTTATCTCATTGATTTGTTCAAAATGTCTTTTTAACTTTTTATAATGATCAGAAGAGCAAGTTCCTTGAGGGGAATGATATCTACCCATTCTACAAATTTAAAAGAAATAGAGTATGATTTTAGGCTGAGTTTCTAGATTGCAGTTCAATGTATGTACCTATTTGTTTTCATTTATGATAGACACAAGTTGCTGATTTTGGATGTTAATCAATCAATTTGGTTTTAGTACAGAAAAGAATAACATTCTAAAAGGGAAATAACCTAACACATCCACTAAATTCAGGAGATCCTACATTCATTCCCAATAGTTGTATGTTTGTTACAAAGAAATTAGTTGAGGTGGAATTACAAAATAGACATTACCAGATCTACTGTTACAGTTTTCATCTGCATGGGTGTACGTGTGTGTCCAGAAAAATGTATGGGCAGAACATCCTAAGATACAATAAGTAATTGTTTCCAAAATCAGTCCTAGGAAAATAATTATTCCAAAATATAATAATGAAGATATTAAAATAAGATTAAAATGACGCCAAATAAATAAATAATAAGATTAAAATAGCATAATATATGTGGTTGATAACATGGTATATGGAGTTGGGATGTGTAAGGGGGCCCACCGTTCGTCTGATTGACTGACTTAGCAGGTAACCCTTCCACACGCGTGTGAGTGTCTTTGCAGTTTGCACTATAACACGGCTTTGATTCGCACGTGGAGGCTATTTTTACTAGGTGCACAAATAATACAATAGGTGTAAATTTGCAAATTACAAGAGGTGAATAACCCTATATAAAGCTAGTTAAGAAACATATCAGCAGCAGTGACAACACCCTCTCTCTTCTGAGTAGCTTCGCCCCTGGCTACTACAAGTCTACAAACATTTTGAAGAGTGAAGATGCATCAACTCTTATCGCTTCGAAAAAAGCAGACTAAATTTTACTTTCTTATGCTAGAGAGAAGAGGTGATATTGTATGTTTTAAAACAAAATATCATGAATGAAATTAAGAAATATAGAAGTAAACTAAATTTATAGCAGAAAGATTGAAGTAAACTAATTAAAAAAAAATTCAAATAAAAGTAGTCTTATCGTGATTTTTTAAGATTAAAAGGAAAATTGATTTGTACTAATAAATTGAATTCTCTATAAAACATATCACAGGTTTTATAAATTTGTTAAGTCCAATTAGGGCATCTCCAACTCCACTATATTTTTCACTCTAAAATAGAGTTTTAGAATAAATGTGCTCTTTTGATAAAAAAAAAAAGAAAAGAATAAATGTGCTTCTATAGTATTATATATCCCACTCTATAATAGAGTGAAAAAATAGGTTTACTCCAAATATAAAATAATTTTTTTTTTATCACTCTATTTTTCATTATAAAAATAGAGTAAACGCTATTATATAATAATTCTATTTTAGAATAAAAAATAGTGTAAATCATTGGAGATGTTCTTAAAAAAAAGTTATATAGATTTGAGATCTTTTCCAAATGCGCACATTCATACTTGATAGGTTATCAAGATCTAGAATTCTAGATACTAAAAACCAATGAATAGAAATCAAACTTTATCTTAAGAATCTTGTTGCAGTTAAAAAGGAATCTTAATAATAACTCTGTCTTAGTGGTGTCAGTTAATTTAGATAATATGTTACTGATATTTAGTCTTCTAGTAGACTTATTCTAGTAAAGTTTTAATGGAGTGATTAGGGTAGAGAGAGTGCGACAAACGCGTGTGAAGGGAGAAAGAAAGTGAGACACGCCTTCTTTCTTTGTGGTGTTTGGGTGGGCGACAGAGAATGTTTTCACTTGGCCGCCCGACTCCACTTTCTCCATTTAACTTTCTCTTATAATCATTTTTTAAAATTCTCACTCAGCTTTTCTCCTCTTTATTTTTAATTTAATATTAGTCCCACAAAACATAATGGATTAGTCTGTTCGATTTGATCATTGTCCATTTCACAAAATCTAAATTTTCTATGTGATTTACTATGACACCAAAGTTTTACTATTTTACAGTTTTAGCAAAAAACTGTTACCAAAGTGTACTGGCATATGAGTTTGAAGTATATTGACAGCATAATATTTTGCTTCTGAGCAAGTTGGGTTATATAATCATATAAAAGCTGATAAGTAAATAAAGTTTGAAGAGAAACTTGGAAGAAGACTTTTGTATGTTTCTTTCTTCTAGTCAAACTTGGTTCATTATTTATATGGTCACCTTAATAGTAAACTATTAAAGCGGTATGATTTTGTGTTATATGCCTTTCAAAATATTTGCCAAAACTCGTCAGCAAACTAGATCAGATTGTGGACCGAAACACGAAGACTTTTCATGACATTAATTTTAGTACTTGGAAGACTGATACTTGGGTCCATGTAATAATCTCTTTTAATTTTTTTATCAATAATAAACGTTAAAATTTTCAGAGAAGTTAACATTGCCAATGTGAATCAGAAAGGAGTTTGAGGTTTTGATACTAAAATGATTTTTGGTTTATAATATATATGAAAACAACTATTAATATACAGAAACTTGTACATACAAACAAGAACACGACCCACTCACAACGACATGATCCATCATAACACACATTATAATAGTATAGCAACACAAAAGGACAATAATACCTATAACCAACTCTATCTTATCTTATACACACTTCCCAAATAAGCCTCACATCTACATTTTAACCTACTGAGATTTTACAAGGAACAAGTCCATTTGATCCTCGAGAAAAATGTCAAGATCTCGACCAACCAGTTTTACTACAGAACAAGAAGTGATCTCATACCTTTCTTTAACATGCAAAAACACTCGAGCCATTACTTTCTCCATCAACTCTTTGATAATATCTTTTCTACTGTCAGAGAAGTAAACAGCCGCTAGTAATCGTTCCATGATCTTAGAATCAATTTCCAGCAAACAATCTGATGATCTTACGCACTTTTCAAAAACTTCTTTTACGCTCTTTCTTATTCTTTCTGCTAACCCTTCAAACTCAAAAGGCTTAAAAGGAACCTCAGTAAGACGGTCGTGTTTCTTCAAGTTCACTAACCAAAGCTTCGAATGCTCTTCACTATGATCTGTTTCTTGCGCCGGAAGGTTCAGATCAAGAACTCCATTAGTAGTTCTGTTTAACTGTTTTCCTGTTTCTACAGTCTCATTCTTGTCCTGCGCATCCCTCAAGCCTATCATCTTCCTCTTTTTCACTGATCTCATTCTAGAAATCGATCTCACATTTGGTAAACTGGACACGGTTTCAATCCGTATCTCCACTTGCCTTCCCTTTGCTCTCAAGAGTTTCTCTTCAGAATAAGTAGCTAATGTTCCAGAATCTTCTACTGAAGATGAAGTCATAACAAACGTGGTGTTTCCAATTCCAACTTCTCTCCCATGCGAATCCATAAACTTTCCAGTTTCAATAGCCTTTAACAAGCTCATCTGAAGCTTCTCATCAGCTTTGTGAATGTTCTCAAGGAAAACTACACAGAAAGGGTTCCTACACAACACTTCAAAGATATGATCCACCGTTGTCTTTCCTCTAAGCCGCATCACATCATCACAACCGCCCATTCCGTGCTCCGCAGCACCAAGATCAACGGGCATGAATCTGTGTTCACTTTGATACATAATCTCAGCAAGCACAAGCGACAGTCTCCTCTTGCCTACAGTATTAGGTCCAATTAAATGGAGCCAAACGTCTCTTCTGGTGCTGATCCTAAGAGGTTGTGACAATGCGCAGCTGATAACTCTAGCAGCCTCATCTTGCCCTGAAACCGTATCTGTTAATCTTTGGTATATAATCTTGAAGCTCTCTAGGTTGAGATCCCTTGATGAAGAACGTGGATGAGCAAAATTATTGTCATCCAAATGATTCTTGAGATCAAATCCTGTGGTGACTGGACACATCTTCAGATTTAGATCAGTCCTGACCGATTTAACTGAACCGGTCGATGCTGAAGCGCTGATCGTTGACTTACTCCCACAAACTGATTCCAACCCTTGTGTGGTCTGCACTGTGGGGATCTAAATACACGTTTAAATTAACATAACACAGTGAAATAACGCAGTCAACTGTGGAAACTTGTAGCCCACGAAACAATATTTGAATTATGGGAGATTAACATATTAAGAGAAGAGAAAAGTGGACTGACCTTGGTCATTTGCAGCCAAGGTGGCAAGGTCGATTGGGTCTGATCCGATATTGAAGAAACCGGTTCGGTGGTTTCTTTGTTGAGACCGGAGAAGGGTAGTTTTAGGTCAGAAGGAGTTGAGAAGAATCCACCAAATGGAACAAACGACCCCATCAAACTGTATTCAATTATAACATGTCAACATCATCGAAGACAAAATGTACAGAAAAAAAAGGAGAAGACAGATACACTCATAAAGTTAGTGCAAGAGTGGAATGTTCAGTCAAACGTACATCAATGATGTGTTTTTACATTCAAATGACTCTTTTTTAAGTTATGCCATTGCGTTTTTTTTTACATGTTAAACCATTGTGTTTACCACTAAAAAAATCTCTACTGCTTCTATCAAACCTCATTCAGAAATTGCAGGATACTGTTTTCTTAGCAAATATCATGTAGACTAAGCACTAAGGCAGTTGTGTAATAATTAGATTGTTAATCCGAACAACAAAGATCAAGAAAATTTGAAGTTATTCCTAGTAGACAGATTAGTCTAGAATGATACCAATAAGCTATTACAGAAGGCCACAAGCCATATTAAACTGTTGTAAATATGACTATTGATTATCATGTTTTGGAACACGATTTTGTTGTTTTAGAAGAAAATAGTCGTTTTTTCAAGTGAAGAAGATAGTCCTTGAACTTATTAAACAAATTTTTGACCAAAAAAAAAACTTATTAAACAAACGATTGATCATCAACCGCATCTGTTCAGCTCGAGTACACATATATATTGCATAGAATCAAGATACAAAAAAGTTATATATACATATATATATATATATAATTTACTTCTAAATTGAACTTTATGGTTAGCTGAAATACACAAGCCTAAAAGATTCTTACATCTACGTAATTAAATACTCCCGCGCGAATCCTAAACCGTTAGAAAAACCGTTATTAAAGCATGTTTGGTGTCATTAAACGCGCGCGAAAGAGATATAACCTGGACTTGTGGTGAGGCAGACAAGGCCTAAGAGTTGTAGTGATGGTGAGTAATTGCAAGTCCCAATCTTTCTCCACGTTCGGAAACTTCTTCACCATCTTCTCATAAACCTCATTGCTCGCCGTCGCTCCGATCAACCACACTCTTCTCCCTGATCTCCTTAACAGCTCCGAAACACGACTCACGATGTAACTCGCCGCCGATCCGTTTCCCTCGCCGTCGGTGAAAACCCTCAGGTCTCCGTAGCTCAAGACTAAACCGGGTCCTGAACCTTGCTCAGCCACCTTCTCCAAGTCGCCAAACCTAGCGTCAGTGTAGGTTTTATCGAACTTGACGTTGACTTGGTCCGAAATTTCTGTACTGAGGCTAACCAAGGTCAAACCGTCGGTTCGGTTCTCCAACGAATTTAAAAAACCGGTTAGCACAGCTTGAGAAGATTCCCCCACAAGCAGAGGGTTCCTCCCTTTGTCCTTTGTGAAAACCGCGCTGATCCTCCGGTAATCAGAATCTCCAGCAAGAAACCGGTTCGGTACGCTGAAACCCCATCGAACCGGGTTTAATTCCGGTTCGTTATGATTTCCGGTTACGTTGCATAGAAACAGAGGCGGTTGTTGTCGTGATGAGTAACGTAGAAGGTGAGGGAAAGGCCGGATAATAGAGAGCTTTAACTCGGAGCTCCGAAAACCCGCTTCACCGAACACCCGACTCACAACCGGATCATCCAAGATAGATAGAATCATCTGACGAAGCTCCACTTTCACGCAAGAGAGTGAGTTCGAACTCATCATCTCTTGGTACATCCTGAAGTTCTCAGGGAGACGACGCTGGTGAGCCTGGGAGCGTTTGATAGCAGCCATGAGAGAGTTCGATACGGGCGGATCATCGGATCCGGGTTGGTGTTGACCCGACTGGATCCGGTCTAGAGAAACGCTTAGGCAGAGATCGAGAGCTTTGAACTGGAGACGAGGAGAGTAAGCAGAGTTTCGGACACGAGCACACGCGTCGCGTAACACGGAGGTTGGGAGTGAGAGTAAAGCGGAGACGGCGTGAAGCGACGTAGTTTGAGAGTGGCCTCGTCGACGCGCCACGTTGACTGCTTCTTCTAGCGCGTAGGATGATTCCGTTGTTAAGCATTGCTTCGCTACGTTCACCGCCGTTGGCATGGCCGGCGAACATATATAAGTAAACTAAAATAAAATTCAAAAAATCTGAAAGAAATTAAATGAGATGTTTCTCAGGTAAATTATTTTACTATTTTCAGGGGTTTGGTGATAAGAAAAAATATGTAATGAGAAATAAATTAATTTATGGAAGGAGAAGAGAGGAGGATACACTGTTGGGTTGAGTGGAACACAACGGTGGGACCTACACGAGGGGGCAGTGAAAGTGAGAGTTTGGAATCCAACAGAAACAGAGGAACAGGTGGTGACTGGTAATGGATTCTCAGATTCTTGTTGCTTGTCTTTTGATCATTCTTTATTGCCGTCCTCAAGTCAAATTATTTTCTTTCTTTTTTTTTTTCTGAACTGAGGCTTAAGTCAAATTGTTTTCTAACATCAAATCATCTATTTTCTCTTATTTTTGTTGTTTATAGTTGTAAAAAAATTTACACCACATAAATATTCACGACATACTACACGATAAATATCTCCTTGATACAGATATTCGTAAGTAGTAACTCATATAGTGTGACTACTTAAGAAATTGTATTTAAACTCTCTATTTATAATTTTTATGATTTTAGCTTTCAGAAAGTCAGAGAAGGAAATATTTGTTTCCATCTATATAAACAAATATTTGAACTACCATAATATTTGACTTTTTATGACTGGGCATAAACTAAGTGAATTTGTTGAGTAAGTTTTTGCCGCTCTTCAGTAACATATGATTCTTATTTCTTTAGGTCAAATTGTTTTGGCGTTGTACAAGTTTCATGTTCTTGTAAGATCAGTTGTGGCATCTAGGCTCTAGCCATCTATGACGTAAATTTAATTACAGTTTAGTATACATGATAGAAGGCCAGCCATGGTTGCGTTGCACAGGACGCTGCCGCCTCGGTTCTTAGTGTTTATGACTTAGCTAGAGGATGAGAACGTCTAGCTCGACCATATATTATTTCTCTATATTCTTCATGAAGTCATGCTACTTTTATTATTGTATTGTATTCACCAAAAAATATACTCCCTCTGTTTTATAATAAGTGTCATTCTAATCACTTTTTCTTGTTATACAAAAAGTGTCACTTTACAATTCCAATGCAAATTATACTTACTTTCAGCTGATAATTAATTATAAACTGCATTGATTTTATAAATAATTCTATTTATCTAAAATACTATTGGTTAAAGAGGTATAATTAATAACAACTTACATATAATTCAACCACTTTCTTAATTTGTGTGAAAAATGTTAAAGTGACATTTATTAAAAAACGGAGGGAGTAAAATCCAATGATGTAATATGAAAAAGGGATCCAATGACATTTATTACCGAAAGTTATTGGAAAGATCGGTGTCGGTCTTGTCGGAGCAAAATAAAAACAAGGGATACGATCATACGACTTTATGAAAATAAAAAAAGAAAGTGACACAAACGATTGCAATAAAAGGAGAAAAGAAAGGTCGCTTTGCATCATAAAGTTTGAAAGGGACAAATGAGAAGGACACCCCATTTCACCACATACTTCACCTTTCATCACTTTTTCTATCCCTTTCTTTTTTTTCTTTTTTAATATTCTAATTATTATGTTTTATCATATGATCTTATTAATCTTTGGGTTGCCATTGCATGTTTCCCAAAGAAGTTCAATGTAAGTATAGTTCTAGCTATAATTAAATGTTAGATGAATTGCCGAGTTACTTTTGTATTTGTGGTGAACTAGGTGAAACAAATTTTGGGATGTAGTATAACAGTTGGTATTAGTATCATTCTCTACTGTGTGTGAGTTGTAGTAGATAAAAGTACTATAGCATTTTTACAATACTTCATAGCATTTTTTACATAATTTACATAGAAAAATATATATGTCCTTTGTGAACCCACATAGATGATAGAATGATAGATGTAGATGTGCTAGGTGTCATCTTCTCACTCGCTTAAGTCAGTGAGAGCCCTATGAGATTTCGACAACTACTTATCTTCTACAAGATTATATATGCCAGACATTTTTGTTCTGAATACAGATATTTTCCAACAGAACATCAACAAAAATAATTTATAGAATATTTATTAACCAACTTTTTCTCTCAGCAAGTATTGGTGCAAATGAGAACCTTTCCTTTGTAGATCTACCACTGATTGGAATATTTTCTCTTTTTCGTATGCGCTCTTTAAATAGACAAGTCATCCACATAATGGTATATAAACACACATTATAGAGTAATTATTTTTAAACTGTCTTATATGAATTAGTATAATCTGCCTCCCACATGGTATTTGGTGATGTACATATGTTCCATATATATCAAAAATTAGTTTTTGATGGTTAAAATATGTATAGATATGAAAAATGATCTCAAGTAAGATTTGAGATCAATGCATGAAATCCACTTGCGACTTTAGTTTGTCATGATTATTAAGACATTATATTGTTGGCTTTATCAGAATGGATCCTTATGGGTTATGGCCTTAATACCAGCAACTAATCAGTAATCACACATTATATTATTTTTTCAAAACCAGGTTTTTGTTACTTGGTTAATTAATTATATAGTATCACACGTTGAGCAAAAGATTCTCAAATATAGTCTCTAATAGATTACTGAGTTAGAGAGAATATGGTGGACGGGTATGAAATATATAACTGTAAATACTATGAATTTGAGCTAGTTAGAATCATGCACTTGCCCAATCCATTCATATTTGATGCACTAAAATCATATATTTAACATTGCTTTCGAAAGTAAAACAAATATTCTTTTCCACAATCATATAAGTTAACATAGGACAGCTTTTTACATATCAATGAATGTGTCACATGAGATATTTTTTTCAATAAAAGTGAAGGTTACTTCTTTAGGGAACCAATATCCTCCCTGTTGACGTTTTCCACGCATACACCAGAAGAATATGTCATTGATAAAACAAAACCAAGAACATATTTGAACAAATTAAATAAAAAATGTTTTGGTGAAAACGAAGCTCGCTTTTATTTTATCATATCCATCAATTCTTTACTATAGATAAGCAACATAATTAGGCTCATTAGTTCAAAAAGAACACATAACTACTATAATTTCACCGAACATTTCTCTGAGATCATCTTTGAACCGACAGTAAAAAGCTAGCATGACTAATCGAATAGCAGAGATGAATGGTGAAAATTTAATCAGTATGAAAAGTGTAGTGGAAAAAACAAGAGAGAATGACTAGGATAGACCTAAATTTTTTTTTGTCACAAATATAGATTTTAACTATTAAAATGACCAAAATAACACTTAAATATTTTATTAAATATACATTTATACCCTTTAGATTAACTAATTCTAGATTTTTTGTTTAGAGTTGAGAAGTGGAGTTTTAGGAATAGGGTTTCAAATAAAAAAAATAGAAAAAATTAAATTTTCAAAATAAAAAGTGCTATATTGGTCATTTTTATTTTTGAGATCTATTTTTGTGATAAAAACTTAAAATAAGGCTATTTGAGAGAATTGCCAAAAAAAAAAAAAAAAAGAGTGGACCCATTTAACCAATTAAGTTTAAATGTTTAATTAAACAATTCCTTTTGGTAAGTGTTCCATGTTCATATACGTCGCTTTTTAATGGGTGTTGAATTGGTGACCGCTAATGTTTTATCTATCTTTAGTTAGTACATCAAACTTTAATTGACATATTTTTCTTGTGCATGTGCATCACATCAAACCTGGTATATATAACCATGCAAACCGCATTAAAATCATATGACAAAGTTAACCAACATGATGAAACTTTGTTAAACAATTCTATAAGTACCATTGACCTATCAACATGGACGTCGTCCGGTCTACCTGAATACACAAGTATTTTTGACTTCTTGTCCAAATTCTAGTGCACTATAGCGTCTTTTTTTCTTGAATTTCAGACGAGTTAAACCCCCATGACAATTATTGTTAGCAATTTAGGAATTGGTCGATAATCAAACCCTTGATTGAGAACCAAGACACTATTGTAATAAACCGACGAAATAATTGTAACACCATAAAAAGACAAAACATAAAGATCAAAAGATGAAATAATAGAGGAAAGAGTGACTGACATTTTAAAAAGCTAAGATTTGAAGGGTCGTCAATCCATCAGGGAGGGTGGGGGACAATCTGAGATAATATTAGATTACGGAAATGATGAAGTTGCCATTATATGTTAAGTTGTATTTTTGTTGTAGTTACAGAAATTTGAAGAAACTATTAGCATTTGTGGGTCTTTAGTGTCCAATTTACAAAACTAATCACTCTAACAAGAGGTTGGAAAATAATGAATCAAATATGAAGGGGCCAGATATGTTTGTCTCTTGTTTAAACTTTAATAAAGTAACGAATGGACTTCACTCTTCCATTAGTTATGTCAATATTTCGATTCAAAGTTATTAATTTGTTCGGAAACAAATATTACAAGTATAACACGCCTGGACATAGATTTCATCCTTAACAAATGGAAAGTTGAGACAAAACAATAAAATAATAGTTTTAGGTTTTGATCGAATTCGAATATTGTTTTTCAAACACAATGAAAATTTTACGTTTAGGTGATGTATGAAGGCTAAAAAAGGGAACAGTATTTGATAAAACACTAAAGTAATATTCGATCGAAAATAATAAAACATAAATAGACATGGAGGAACGTTGCACATGACAAAGTATCTTGACTCCAAACTCTAAAGTATATTTGAAAAGAGAAGTTTAATAAAACTCACCAATGACCAATGTACATAATGATCAATCAAAATCAATACCAATAAAATCGGGTAAGAGTCTTAGAAACCTATGCTTTCAAACCACACGTAAAATATGTATTTGACTTTTTTAAAATCTCCAGTAGCTTACTTTATTTTTTGATTTGGTAGATGGGAAAGATTAATATTCCAACTTATTTTATTTTTATTTATTAAAAATTATCAATTGTTTTAATTAATAAATTCATTTTTTGTTTCTCTTTTGCTTTCAGTCCGAACATATTCAGCGGCAGGCCTGACCATAATTGATTTGAAACCACAATAAGAGAACTATCAAATGCTTTTTTTGATGAAGTATCACAAATATATTCCAATTAAAGAAATAAAAAATCC